TCAGTTGTTTAGTTCTTTGTGGAGAATATGGGTATCCTGTTACTAGCTTTGAATTAAGGTCAATCGTACATGATTACTTAATCAAAAATGGACTCAGTAATATTTTTAACAACAAAATGCCGGGTCAGAAGTGGGTAAGAAACTTCTTGAAACGCCACAAAAATGTCCTGACGGTGCGTTCTACAAATAATATTAAAGAATCCCGAGCTAGTAAGAGTGTAAAGGACTACAATACATATTTTGAAAATTTGAAGATTTCATTGCATAATGTCAAACCAGATCATATAGTGAACTATGATGAGACCAACTTTTCCGATAACCCAGGATCTCAAAAATGCATATTTAAAGCAGGTACTAAATACCCAAACAAAACACTAAACAATACCAAGACGGCGATATCTGTTATGTTCTCAGCTACGGCAGGTGGAGAAATTTTCCCACCATATGTCGTATACAAAGCAGACAATTTGTGGACAAATTGGTGTGCAAACGGGCCTGAAGGAACGAGATACAACAAAACCAAATCTGGTTGGTTCGATTCGTATACTTTTGAAGATTGGTTTAATACCATAATCATCCCATGGGCAGTGAAAACCACTGATCCTAAAGTTTTAATTGGAGACAATTTATCGTCAGATATGAATATAAATATAATAACTAAGTGTGAAGAACATAATATCAGATTTATCTTTTTGCCACCTAACTCCACTCACCACACTCAACCTCTTGATGTGGCCTTTTTCGGCCCATTGAAGAGAGAATGGAGGAGAATTTTAACGGACTACAAAGTTCGACACCCAAGTTCTAACACATTAAACAAACAAATATTCCCCGAATTATTGAAAATGTTACTAGATGCAACAAAAATTACACAGAGTAAAAACATAATTAGCGGATTTCGTGCTGCTGGGATACACCCCATTAATCCAGAAGCTATATTAAAGAAATTGCCAGATTACCGTAGGCCACAAGCAAACATTACTTACGATGAGACTTTTGTCAATTATTTGAAAGGTTTAAGAAACCCGGCGAACCGGCAAATAAGAAATACAAATAAAAAAATATTTATAGAGCCTGGAAAATCAATAACTGTTACCGATCTCGTAAATGAAAAAACTAAAAAACGAAAAGCACCAGATACAACTCTTAGTAACGCAAAAAGACTCAATCGTAAGAAAAATATCATCCCCACAGAAATCCAATTACAGGAAGACGTGAAAGAAACGCATTCAACTATTGCAGATTCTTTGATTATGTATAATCAAAGTGTGGATTATACTTTTGACAATGTCTCATTAAACGTTAGGCGAGATTCGTCATCCGATGCTGACAATGACCAACTTATGACTAATTTGATAGTAAATGCTGAAATACATCAAAAACATGGAGATATGGAATTATCGGACCAGAAAAATACTAAAAGTATTTACAACATTCAACCAGGCGTTATTGTGAATGTTGATAAAAATTTATGTTTATCAAATGACCGGACTTTATTCAAAAATATTTCTAACTGTGATGCAACTACATCAAATGAAACTATGACGAAAAGCCGAATTCTCTCCAATGTAATTATAAAATCCCCAGATAGAATCTCATTTGATGATAGTGTTTCAGATGACTATACTAAGCATGAAAAGGTGTTTCCAAAAAGTAGGAGCAATCAAGGGTCGAGTTCAGAAAGCTCAGGAATGTATACTGTGCACGATTCGTCTTGTGATGAACATTTTCTTCCATCTCTAAGTGACACGGAAACATACATAGATGAAATGTATGAAGAATTGGAACAAAATATTGATAAAGAAAATGATATTTATGAAATAGGTGTTGATAAATATGTTCTTGTTAAATTTTCAACATCAAAGTTGGCTAAATATTATATTGGTCTAGTAATCAAGTACAACGATTTGGAGCGCGTATATACTATAAAATACTTACGAAAAAATTCAAAAGGTACATTTTACTGGCCACTAGTAGATGATGTCTCAGAAATAACTTTACTTGATGTAGAAAAAACGTTGCCAAATCCACAAGTCGGACGTAGAGGGACATTAAAGTTTGATTTAGATAATTTAGGTGTTCTTTTGTCAAACATTTATTGAAATTTGTTACCTGATAATTAGTTTTTGACTTCATTGTGATATTGTTGTATTTTTTTAGGATAGATAAAGTAAAACTTTACTATGTCGTATTGTGCGTTTATAGATTATGTTTATTAAGAAAAAGGGTTAATTTCGAAAGACTGATTGTAATTTTAATAAAAACTGCTTGCAATGAGAATGACTGATTAAGTGTTATAACATGTATTTTAAATATAATTTTAATATTTTGTTACCTACTTATTTTTCTTATGAGACAACCCTACACTTTCTTTGTCAATGTATGGATGTTGGTAGAAATTGTGTCCTAACATTGCCTTATAAAATTTTATCTACTAAAATACGCCAAAAGGTGTTATTCGAAATTGATTTGTATTGTTGAATTATTAAGCTACATTTAAGATTGTCCCAGGATTAAATGCATATATTTATTTTGGAGTAAACGCCTCTGGCAATGTTAGGAATATTAGACATAACTTTGCCTATTTCTTAAAATACCTCCAAAAAGTTATTAATATTAAGCATAATGTCTAAAATAAATGTTATATATTATACCTAAGTCTTGCTTTTACTCTTGTTTTAATTTCTATCTGCTAAAAAGTACAAATTCAGGATTTATTTCACGACAAAACTAAATAATATCAATATTCGTGAAAAGTTAGGGCATTTGACGGTACCAGATAATCGACGTTTATCGACCAAAATTGAATTGCTTCAGGTGATACAATAAGGACAAGCTTTACCGCCCTTTGTTTGCATTAGTACTCACCAGATAATACCTAACACATCATATTGGCAAAATCAACAATATACAACCCCGCAAGGATATTTTACTGGATCAACTTCTGCTGTTATTCCGCCTGGAACACCATCGCCATCATCTCAATTTAGTTCTGCCTCGCAGTCTTCTACAATAAATAGAAAATATATATGCTGATTTGGACGAACAATAAATAAATATCTTACCTCAAAGTTAATACGAGTTTTTCTTCTGGTGTCACGCTTGCCCTCATATGTGTTTCAGAGCTCGAAATATCTTATAATTATCTTGTAATATATTTCTAGTTCCATTAGTTCATCAAGATTTTATTGACATTCTCAAATAGTCAATTTTTTTTTCTCTCAAACATTCTTAAACTGGGATATAGCGTTACTGATTGGCCATGTGTCAGTCGATACTTTAATATCGGATGTACCCAATACTGCATATTCCTTCTTTTCCTTATTTTCTGGAGCAACCACAGACACGCTAGTTCCTCTTCGACTTCCATCTTGAAACTGATCGCTGATCGCTAACTGACCGCCGATATTTGAACAGTCGACATTTTTGCGGTTCAAACTGCACGATCTGACAATCGCACGGTTATTGCCGCGTCTGAACTAGCCCTAAGTCGCGAGGTCGACTGTCGCGGGAACGATCGTAATTTTACCACGTTTTTATTATGTCACTTTCTGGTTTGTCTGTCGTTCCGAGTGGAATTTAGTAAATGATTTTAAACTAACTTCCCGATGAGCTGGAGACTTGAAATTTTGAATATAGCTCAAATTTAAATGACAATACAAGAATATGATAAAAAATAATTTGTTTATTAGTAAAAATACCAAGTTGTGTATTTAAGGGTTGTGCATACTACGATAAAAAGCACTGCAAATATATATATATATATATATATATATATATATATTCATATCATACATCAAAAATATGTCATTAAAACAATTTTGTTTCCGAATAAGTAACTCAAAGTTCGGCAAAGAGGAAACGAGGTCATGCGTGAATATTTATTCAATTGAGATTAAAAATTTAGTTCAATAGTCAAATAAAAGCTATCATTCAAATAAGTTTTAACATTACTGAATATAAAGGTGAAAAAATTGAGCTATTTGTTGTTCCATTTTTCCTATACAGTTACAGCCTATTCAAATCCACTGCTGAACACTGGCCATATTTGCCATAGTTGCTATGCTTGGCAAGCAGGTAGGCAACCGCAGTTTTTATATTTAATCGTTATTAGGAAGACGCTGCTGCCCATCGCCTGGTTTGATGAATTTTTGTTATGAATAACTTTTATCTGATGAAAGAAAAATCAGCATTTGGTCTTGTTTGAAGCATTTTACGAAAGCATTTTAGTCCTTTTTAGGGTTCCGTAACCGAAGGGTAACCAACGCGACCATATTACTAAACCTCCGCTGTCCGTCCGTCTGTCTGTCAGCGGGCTGTATCTCATTATCTGTGATAGATACAGTTAAAATTGTCACAGTATGTGTATTTTTGTTGCCGCTATAACAAAAAATAATATAAATAAATATAAATTAAAATATAAAGGGGGCTCCCCTAATAGAAACGTGTTTTTTTACCTACATAGTATTAAATCTTGTACGATGGTACGGAACCCTTCATGCGCGAGTCCAACTCGGACTTGGCCGGTTTTATTTAAATAATTCACTTCAAGTTACGTATCACATTATGAGAATCCAATAGATCATTTAAAGAGTCAACTGACTCTTATTATATTTAGTTATTCAATCATTTATTTGTTTTGTGCACAAATTGCAACATTATTTGTTAGTGTATTTTGATCATTATTTTTAGATTGTCTTGAAGAGGATGAAGTCTCTTAAATGTTAAACTATAGTCTTTAACGGGTGAAATATATATTGCAATTTTGCTTTCATAGTGTATTCCTAAGGCACAGTAACGAAGGTAATAAGTGACATCTACATATTATATCTTGCTATTGGTTAGGTGTGGATAATGCACCGTGATTTATAAGTATTTCTCAAATCTTAATTTATTGAAATCTATAAAACAAACTATCATAAATAATATCCATCTCCTATATAAAGTCCATTCATCACTCAAATCTACAAATTAAAATATTAAAATTAAAGTAGTTATTATCAATAAAAATATGCTGTTATTGCAACAAATCTCTTGTCGAGATAACTCTGTTCAACTTCCACCGAACCACCTGCCTCTTGAGCCAATGACAAAATCTGAAAAGAAGTGAAAATTGGTTTATTTCTTTGATTTTAAAAGAATACCAGCTACGCGAGTGAGTAGTTAGTAGTAATGAGTAATAGTGTGTGGTTCATCATTGTGGTCGAATGGAGCATTTAATCCAAGGCTAACATAGAGGGTTATTTTGCAATATACGAACAAATTTGCAGAGAAGGTTCAGAATAAGAATAATATAGGCGAATGGTGAAGCAAAATTTTACCAAAAAAAAAACCTCAAACATTCTGTCGTTTTTTCATTTTAAATTCAGAATGCGTGGTAATGCATCATTTTAACTGATTGTCATTCATAAATATCTAACGTCTACAATTTTACTACGCACGCACACATTCTTAGGGTTTCCTCGATCGGCAAAAACGGTGTGAATTAAATCGTACACAGAGGAGCGCACGTACTCTTTGAACAATAACCCAGTACATATATTAAAACAATATGATATATCAGGGCTCAAAATAAAATAAAATGGGGAAACATATATGGCATACCAGGTAGTAGGACTATTTTTTGACTATTTATGCCGTGCAGTAGCAGTATGTGAACTATTGTGTTCTGGTTTTAAGGGTATAGAGAGCCAGTATAATTAATTACGGGCTGTCTCAGAGAGTCCACCTTCAGAGGTGACAATGCAACTCTTAACAATTGTTCATATTGATTTTGAGAAATAGTAACTATATGGATAAATAATTAGACTTTCAACGAATATTCGGTATTCGGCCTATTCGGCTACTTTAATACTATTCAGTCGAATACCGAATATCTAGGTACTATTCGACCGATTCGAGATAGTTGATAAAATTAAAATATTTATTTATTTTATAAATATTTTATTTCTTGTACTCATTAAAGTAGTAACAGGTACATAATCAACTTTCATATTATAAAAATTAAAAAAGAAATATCACATAAATGTCTCTGCACTGAAATTTAAGTGGATGATAATGGTGCAGAAAGACTAATTTTTCTTCATTTTCAGGCAGTAGTTTACTACCTTTCTTTTCGTAGAAAATCCACAAACTTCAGAGAATAGAGGCTCTGAAGAATAAACACTACTTCCTTCCTGGCCGAATACTTTTGCCTAATATTCAAGTATTCGGCCAGGAAGTCCGTAGAATATTCGGCATTCGGCGTGTGGCCGAATATACTATTCGTTGCAAGTCTATAAATAATACTTAATGAAAGTCACTCTATGTTTAATTTACCACTATTTCAGAAAAATAGCTTTGTCTTGGGAAGAACTAGCTAGAAACTCAGCAGGAATTTAAAAAAAAGAACAGATTACAATCATAAACGTTACACAATTAACCAAAGCAATTTGTTATTTATATATTGTAGTTATCTTTACCTGATCGGATCTCGTGTTCCTAGGTAGGTACAATGCGATATTGGATGTTATAGACCTCGCAACCTTCATTAACTCGGAGGCAGGTTTTGGTATGAGCATTGTTTCTATATCATATTGAGAGTTCTGAAATTAGCATAAATAATGAATTAAGTACGAAGCATCGTGTGGAATCATTTGAATTATCTAGAGAACTATGCCAACAGATTAAATATTGTAGAAAGAATCATGTCCAGTCTTGACCTGAAAATTTTCTAACGCGTCTAGTGATAAATCCCTCTAAAATATCTTAAAAAATTAATTTTTTCTTTGCTTATTTCGCATCGCATAATTGAAGTAATGTTAATATGTTTATCATTCTCAATAGACTTTTGGAGACGGAACGTGTTTTACAATGGCACAAAGGCTTCTGGGCCAAGCCAAAAATATAAAAAATAATAATAACATGATGAAAAAAATTTTCAACAGGCTGTCATTTGTTTGACTTTTGTAGTTATGCGATTTTGGATTTTCTGATACCCTTACAACTTTGTATTTTCCACGGATTTCGACACCTACTCCTTAAGATTACTTTGATCTGTGTTATATGGATACTGATTTAGTGCTTTGTGATTGGGATCTAAGACGTCATCGCTCATGTTGGAAATCGTCATCTGACAGCTGTCCTTATAATATGACCTGACCTTATAACCTCGAAAACTTATTTACTTAATAGCATTTTTCCCTGGCCTGGTTAGGTGGTAAAGCCATGCTGCAGCTATATTAGTAGTATAGTTGTAGCATGAATGGGTCGGCTCGACCGGGGAAGGACCACGCTCTCACAGAATACCAGCGTAAAATAGCAGCTTAACACTGCTGTGTTTCGTATGGTGAGTGTAGAGAACCGGAGACCCTTTTTACTGGAAAAGAGGCATTCCATCTTAGTCCTCACGGGTGACAACGCATCTGCATTTTGATTCGCAAACGAGGATAGATGTAGATGTCTATGGGTCACAGCAACCACTTACCATCAGGTGGACTGTGTGCTCGTTTGTCACTCTATCCTATAAAAAAAAAGCCTCTAAATGAAAAGATAACAAGTTATTATAAACAATAATTATTTTTATACAACACTAGTTATAGGTAGACGCGACCTTTAAAACGAATCAGATGACTAGTCAATCAATGTATGGAAAGTGGGCACGATACTTTATATTTTATTGAATAACAATTAGGTACTTTTTATGAGGTGAAAGAATTTTTTATTAATAAATTAAACAGGAATACGAGTAAATGACGTCATAATTTCTTCAAATCAGATGAAAAATGTGTTCATTTATCATTCATTCATTGCAGCCTTTCACAAGTCCTCCGCTGAAAATATGTCTCCCCCAAGGAATCCCATAAAGCACGATCGTGAGCTATCTGCATCCGTCGCCCTACACTTCGCTTACCGGTACGATATTTCCACTCGAGAACCTTTCTTCCCCATCCGTTGTCGGTTCCTCGAGCTATATGGCCGGCCCACTGCCACTTCAGCTTACTAATCCGTTGGGCTATGTCGGTTACTCTGGTTCTACTGCGGATATCCTCATTTCTAAGTCTATCACGCAAAGAAACCCCAAGCATAGCCCTCTTCATAGCTCGCTGAGCGAAATTGAGCATCTTCATACGGCCAGCAGTAAAGGACCACGTCTCAGATCCATATGTCATGAAACTAATCATGAAAAATGAAACGTGTATATTTTAATTATTCGAAATAATTTTTACGTAAGATTTTTTATAGGAGAGGGGGCAGACGAGCATACAGCTCACCTGATGGTAAGTGACTACCGCCACCCATGAACAACTGCAACACCAGGGGAACCAGGGGCTTTGCAGATGCGTTGCCGGCCTTTTAAAAGGAGTAGGCTCTTTTCTTGAAGGTCCCTAAGTCGTATCGGTCCGGATAAATCGCTGGTGGTAATCGATTTCACAAGGAAGTTGTGCGAGGAAGAAAACATCTTCTAAATCGCACAATGGTGGATCGCCAATTATCCAGATGGTGTGAATGGTATCGGGAGTTCTGCCGCGATGTGCGTTAGTGAAATTTGGCGGCTGGGATTAATCCGAACAATTCCTCAAAGCACTCCTCGTAGTAAATGCGAAAGAAAATGCAAAGGGATGCAACATCTCTTCGCAGCGCCAATGAGTCGAGCCGATCGGGAAAAGACTCGGTCGTCGACGATTCGAGCCGCTCTGCGCTGGATGCGGTCAAGTGGCAAGAGTTGACACTAGGGAGCCCCAGCCCAGAGATGGGAACAGTATTCCATGTGAGGCCGAACCTGCGTCTTGTAAAGTTGCAGGCGTTGTGCCGGCATGAAATACTGTCCCGCTCTGCTGAGCACGCCAAGTTTTTTAGAGGCAAATTTGGCCTTCTCTTCCAAGTGACCACGAAACTGCACGCCACTCGAGATGTCAACTCCGAGGCGACTATCGCATTTGCCATAGTCGCCTTCTTAGAGACTTCAAAAAAGGAGCAGGTCGACAATTCGTCTGTATGTTTTTTTATTTTTCTTTTGTATGTATGTTCCGCGATATCTTCGTCTATGAGGGCTTAATTTTTAATAATAATTAAAATTTAATAATTAAATTAATTTTCCGCTCACCAAATGTTGCGAGTGACACTGAGGTGAAGCTTTTTGTTACACAATGTTATTTAATTGAGAAGTTAGTTTTAAATAAAAGTTTAACAGTTTCTAGAGTATTTTATTAATGCACAAAACAGTGCTTCAGTGCTTTGCTCTTTAATTTCTTGCACAATTTTTACTCTTTTTTTAATTTTTCTTCTTTTATGAGTATCTGTGGTTTGGTTTATTTTTTTAATCTATTTTCTATTTATATAAAATATAATTATGATTTCTTATATTTACGCGAGGACTACAGATGAAATGAAACTACGGATTTTTATATGGATTTTTTTACGGATTTTATTTAGTTTAATTTAGCTTTTTTCTTTTTTTCGTTTCAGGTGCTTTACAGCACCCATGGTCACGGGGGGGACTGAGGTGTTTGACGTCCCGATGTCATAGTTAGCCCGGCTACCTTCAGTTTCTGAATATTAATTTTTGGTCCGATCTACGCAGAATGAGCTTACAGTATCTTGAAGTCTTGCAGTGGTTTGCTTGGGTTTCTAATTTTATTAAATTATAGGATCCCAAGCAGATTGTAGCATCCATACATCTTCTCTATTGAAATTAGAATGTTTTTTAATTTCAATAGCCTCGCGAATCATCTTTGGTAGGAATCGGTGTGGTCTCTCTTACATTAAATTAAATTTAACACGATAGAATCTGTAAAATTTAGTTTTATTAATGTGTAGTTTTCGCGTAAATATAAGAAATCATTCTTTTAGTTATAAGTCCGCTTTTACTTTTTATTAAAAGTTAATTTTCTGAGGCCCATAGGTCCGATGTGATGGATTTACGCCGGGACCACGCGGTAATAACACTGTAGAAGGTAAAATATCTATATTTTTCCTTAAGTTAAGCTTATAAATTAATGGTATTTAGAGGAATATAATCTTGCAACTACATCGAACCCTAAATCGCGCTATCAAAGATCCGAAGTAAAAGCAGTATATATAGAATAGCTCCGAACTACCACTTGGAGCGTTAGCCGTTCCCCGGGCTGAACACCTTGCTCGGCGGCAGATCTCCCCTTTTCCTTCCACGGCCAAAAATATAAATCTACATACCTCCGAGTAATCGGGGCCACCCCAAGGCGGACTTAGGAACACCATATCAGCTGTTAGTTCCGGCGCTAGCTCGAAGAAATCTCCAACCATGAATTCAATTTGATCCTCGACACCGTACACCGAAGCGTTGTGCTTTGCCATTTCTATCTTAGACGGGTCAATGTCTATTGCTATAACTGAAGAAAATAATAATTCAAATTAAGAAAAAAAAATCTTCAGAAAACAGAAATATTGTAAGTTTTATTTTTTCTTTATAAAAAACTACAAAATCGATAGTAAACTATATATAATTTTGTACGTGGTAGAGCCATGCTGCAGCTATATTAGTAGTATATTTGTAGCACGAATGGGTCGGCTCGACCGGGTAAGGACCACGCTCTCACAGAATACCAGCGTCAAATAGCAGCTCAACACTGCTGTGTTTCGTATGGTGAGTGTGGAGAACCGGATACCTTTTTTAATGGGAAAGAGGCATTCCATCTTAGTCCACACGGGTGACAACGCATTTTCATTTTGATTCGCAAACGAGGATAAATGTAGATGTCTATGGGCCACAGCAACCACTTACCATCAGGTGGACTGTGTGCTCGTTTGTCACCCTATACTATATAAAAAAACTTATTAGGTATTCCTTATTGCATTTATGCTTCAAATTAAATTGGTTTGGACACAATATTGTCACGTCTTCCATGACTTTCCATATTTTTTCAATTCAAAAGTTAAATAAAAATAAATTAAGGTCACAAATGTCAAAAGAGTATAAATAAATAGGTATTATATTGTGTGCTACTAAATATTCACCTTTCTTGCAAGTGCGTGCAAATTGTATGGTGTTGCCCCCGGCTCCGCAGAAGGCATCAACAACCGTATCGAAAGCGAATTTGCTGGCGATATGCCACGCGACATTCTCTGGAGTAACGCTGAACCAACTCTCGCGATCCAGTTTTATACCTTCATCGAACCTAAACACATTGAATGAAACAGAAAAAAACATTCGTAAGGACGAATATCGATTGATTTTGAAAGAAAGAAAGAATATTTATTTTATTAATTGCTACAAAACAATAAACATAAGTACATAAAATAAACAAGTGTTTAATATGATAATTTATTGAATTCATCATTATTATCATTATTAGTCTATCAAACTCCACTGTTGAACAGAAACCTCCCCATAGATTGCCTCACAATAAAGATATTTGCCATAGTGGCCACGCCTGGCAACCATACTTTTTATTTTCTGGTTGGTTATTGTCAGGTTATGTTGCTGAATGTAACCTGGACTTAGTATTTAGATCCAACTGATAGGAAGGGTTATATCACTTGTAGTTTAGAGAAAAGGAAAGGAACACAGATACAATTAGTGTGTTGCGAGTGATAACACAAGGAATTGAGATGTGATCTTTCACTGCTGGCCTAATGAGCAGGCTTAAGGACTTTTAATGAGCTTTGGAACTACTATGCTAGAATATTCTCTGTGTGATGGGGTTCGTAATGAAGATTACATTAGAACAAGAGTAACAAACGGCCTAAAGAATCAGTAAACTGACCATATGAGGAAGAAACGTTTCTATACTAATATCAAAGACTCACTGCCCATGGTGTAATAAAATGGGGAAACAGCATGCCGCTTGATGCGCTCTCTGTCGTCTTTCTGTCGTATCTCAGGCCTGCCGTCAGGCCCGTAAGTGCGTCAGAGCACCGCACCGCGGGTAGTGAATGTCTAACATTAGTATAGTGGCAGACTCATACTGTTAATTGGAATGTAGAACGACCTCCCACTTGTATTGACAAACGAGATTACAGTCCACCTAGCGACAATGGCTGCTGCAGCTTGTCGACACCAGAAGCCAACTTCAAATGAAGTGGGCTACAGGTGCGTTGTTACCTTTGAGGTCTAAGATGAAATGCCTTACAGCCTGTAATTGTACTGGCTCTCTACACACTTTAGACCAGAACACAGTGCACGCACTGCTATTTGGTGACAGAAATAAGTAAGAGGGCAGTACTTACCCAGACAAAAAGGGAAAATCTACCACCTACAGCACGGCCAGCATGGGCTGGGGACAAAAATTTTATCCCCCGATTATATCCACTGACAAGAGATAAAATTATCTTGTCCCTATGCCAAAGCACGGCAACGGGGAGAAGTATATCTTCGTTTGACATAACGAGTAGACACATATCCCCCGTCCGTAGCATGGAGCCAAATGAAAGATAAAAAATTATGCTTTTTTGACATTTGAAAGGGACAATTCTATCCTAGTTCATTGGACGTGGGTTTAAGTTTATATTTATTTATTTATATTATTTATTTATTTTAAAGGACATCCTACAGTAGTTACAATATATACTATTTATTGTTTTCTATCTTTGAATTACACATTATGCTTATTGAACTACAGATTACAGGTTGTCACAACATGCTTAAATTTAATGAAAAAAAAGTACAAAAATTAAAGATATTAAAGAAAAGGGCCAATATATATAACATAAATAAATAAAATACATAACAGAGGTGCGTCACTCACTGATAATAATTTTTCTTTTATAATTATGTAAGGTGTCATTAAAAATGTCGAGATCTGTGTCATCAGTTGATTTTATATTATAGGTATGTGTCAAACGGGAAATTGGTGAATTTTTTCCTAGATTACTTTTATGTTTACGTACTTTAAGTATTCTGATTGGATTGGATATTCATACAAAAAATCTATCTAAGTCTAAGTCTATCTCCCATTTTATCTACTGTGGATATTATAACCACCGGTGTGCCCATGCTCGAAGAACATTTTCTCCTTTCCCCGAGGATAAAATTGTCTCCTACCCATGCTACTACTACTACTGGCACTACTGGGGTGGCTCAGGACTGTTTTTGTGTAATTTCTTCAGAAAGATGATGTTGGCTTCGGCTGTTATTCAAACTGAGATCCCGTGGCGTTTTGCATATGGCGTGGCACAATAACATTTTTACATTAATATCATGCAAAATAAAAATTTTTTTAGCTTGTCTCACCTATGAAACAATGAGTGTCTCTTCTTCCAATATTTCAACATTTTCGGCTCTCCTTGTAATTCTGCAGGCATATCTGAAGTATCAATTTCTTCCCCTGAGAATTCTAATTTCGAGTAACGTTTTTGTCTCCGGCGACGTTTTGTTTGATCGGCTTGTTGGGTAACTAAAATTAATAAAGAAATAATTGAAAATTAAACAAACAGAAAATATTGTAATGCCTATAATATACAACAAACGAAAACTTTGTAGTTTTACGAGTATACAATATAATACTCTTTCTAGATCTGCTTGTAAAATTTGTCTGCTTGACATGGTCCTCTCCCATTGTAACCAAATTTTTCACTATCAATATGCTTGGAAAGCGTATTGGCGACTACAGCACCAGATGTATATCACACCTTGGCTACTAGTCGTCGCTAATACGGATATTAACATATTGTATATGTTTGTCAGACACGGCAGTCAGTCTCGAAGAAGCCGAGCTGGCCAATCTAACAAGCCATCTGCACAGTACAGTATTATAGTGAACAAGTGTGTGAGAAGTTTGCCATAGTTGTCATGCTTGGCAAGCTTCTTGGCTGGTCAATCTACGAAATCAACTCGGCTGGGCAGCATAAAGGAGATTAACGACACATCTTTTCGTTACGTACACCTCAAACCTTAAAAACTAGATTGTTCAAATGTGATGAGAAGATGACAACCGGTGGGAATGAGAAGTTCTCAAATGGCAGCCTCGTACTAGTAAGCGAAGTGTATAGCGGCCCCCTACTAGATGGATTAACGGCCTAGTGAGAGACACAGGAAGTCGATAGATGCAGGTGGCTCAGGACTGTATTTTCTTTGAAGAAGGCCTGTGTGCAGCAGTGGACTTGTGAAGGGCTGTAATAATGATGAATGAATGTGTGCGCAAGCAGGTGCACTCTCTATTCCCTTACTCTCATAATCCGATGGGACGCCAATCCGACACGACTGAGATCAGGCACAGAACCAACGGCTTTAAGTGCTTTCTGGTGCACGGGGGTGAAACTCAACTTCTGATTTGGCCCGACCCGAGATTTCCAAACTGGGACCACATGACTAGCAGTAGGTCGTCGATTAAGTTACTACTTCGTTGACCAACTTTTTTGTATAGCGTGAATGGACTTGTACTTTGACGGAGGGGAAAGGCATACCGTCTAGTCCACGTTACTATAAGAAGCTACTTAATTGATTTTCAAGTGCTTTTCATGAAAAATATGGCACATAAATTTCATATTTCTTTGTAAAAAAATTACATCGTGAAACACAACTGCTGTTGCTAATTATTTTTAATTCTTTATCTTAACCACGAACTTAAAAAGTAAAAACGAAAATCTATACAAATAAATAAAATTGAAGTGTCTGTTTGTAATGTAAAAATAACATCTTTTAAGCCGTGGTAGCTCAGATGGTTAGCGCTCGCTGTAAGCTACTCGAGCAACCCGGGTTCGATCCCCGCCGGCACCAATGAAATTGTTAGTTGCAATTATAAGTGCTGATTTACCACGTGTTCGGCGGTGAAGGAAAACATCGTGAGGAAACCTGCATGTCTGAGAAATAAGAAAAAGAATATTTCGAATACATGTGAAGTTCGCCAACACGCATTGGGGCAGCGCGGCGGACATTTCCTTGTCTTAGAACCCTTTTTACTAAATGCATATGCAAATATATATGGTTAGTACCATACATATAACAAAAAAAGCAATTTTAAAAATGTTTGTCTGTCTGTCTATTTGTTACGGCTGGACCGATTTTGACGGGACTTTCACTGGCAGATAGCTGATGTTATAAGGAGTAACTTTTATGTTAGAAAAACAATTAAGGTTCCGGGCAAAAAAATAAAAACCCATGAAATCGAACCGTAATAAATTCCACGCGGGAAAAGTCGCGGGGAACAGCTAGTACTTAATATAAACAATCACTAAAGAGAAAGATAAAGCATTATGTCTAAAGCGACAATTTTAAATTACCTGTACTTTCTATTACTTCATCAGCATATTTTGTTTCATTTTCATTGTTTTCCTGTATATCGCTAAGTGAATTATCCAAATCTGGGGGTAGTGCAACAGCAGCCGCTTCCTCTACTATATCTTTTTCTACATAATTTTTATCATCTATAACTTTATCTTGCACATCAAAACTATTTTCATGTACATCTACAGTAGCATCATTATGAATTGGTTCTTGTATAATTTTCTCATTGTCTGATTGAACTTCTGGACATTCATCATCTGTCTGCATTTCTCTTTCTTCTTGATATTCATGACCCTGTTTTTAATGTAATGTTCTTCAAATATAATTTGATAACATTTAATCTACAATGTGTTACAATTACTTATTATTTACAATTAACAATTATTTTAAAAGGACATCCTACAGTAGTTACAATGTACATTTTTTTCTTTTGTTGCTTTCTTTGCATTACATATTATGTTTATTGAACTACAAATGACAAGTTGTCTATCTATCTGTCTATATACTATAAGAAAAATTAGGTACATCAACCACTCGAATGTCAAGATCTGAGTTATCAATTGATTTTACATTATAGGTACATGTCAAGTGTCAAGATTACTTTTATTTTTATGTTCTTTAAGTAGGTAGTAGGATTTTGTTTTCTCTATCCAAGTTCCTTTCCAAAAATAAAATCTGTTTAGCTTGGGTAGGTTAGAGCAGAAGGCAAACCCAAGGAAGTCATAAGCAACTCATTTATTTCATATTTCTCCTTGCAGACTTTTTTATCCTGACGTGGGCCCATTGTATGCATTACTCAAATATACTAATAGAAATACCCACAGATACTATGCACGGCATGCGAATTGGTTAGTATAGACCTGACTGGATCCAGCAAATTCGAATGAATTGTCCGCCCTCTGGTGGACATCAGAACCTTGTTTGTCAGTCAGCATTTTGCACTGCAAGGAGGTGGAAGAGGCCTTTGTCCAACTATAAACTTTTACAGGCTGTAGAAATCTAATTATTTTCCATATATGTCACTAAACATTATGTCTATTTATATAAAAGTCAAGAAATTTTTATCATTATCATTATGTTTTTTTAAATGTGATATAAAACATAAAAACAGCAACACTCAAATAAGAAATATTTTGTATAATACTACACTCACTAAGCCGCATTACCTCAAGGAATTTGTTATTTATAAAAACATACATATTTTATCATATCCATAAATATAAGTAAAAAATAAAAACTGTGTTTACCACATCCACACAAGGATTCCCGTCATCATCAAAGTAAGTCTTTTTCGGTGCTCCAAATTTCTTGTAACGTGGTGGTCGGAGTCTCCCCAATCTTTTCCTATAAACTAGTTGCCCTTTAGGCATATTATCAGAGTGTAAGCAAAAGCCCATTATTTCAAATGTCGCTTTTATTTTTTCGGAGGACACTTCTTCTTCATCAACTTCATGGCTGAAATTTTTTTATTTGTTTAAAGATAAAATTGTCTTGGACTTTTTTAGATAATTTTTTATAATAAAATAAATCTACGGTAACAAACACAAGTGAATGGTTCTTATGGAGACAAATATTAACTTTAGAAGATTTTAAGTACTTACAAATGCATGTATTGTCATTGTATTTAATATTTTTAATTTGATTGATAAATATCAGGTTATGATCAGGATGGTTAACAACAATTTAAAATGTAAAATGAAACTGCTACAATCAATAGAATGACCATCATACCACAGTTAGCCTGGCTACCTTCAGTTTTGTTTATTAATTTAAATTTTTTTTTGGTTCAATCTACGCAGAAATCAAAGAAGAATCCTGGCTAACTGTGACATCAGGACGTCAAACATCTCAGTCCCTCCATGACCATGGGTTGCTGTAAAGCACTGGAAACATCGGCAATTAAAATAAGTATAATACTCGATAAAACCGGTAAAAGTGTGTAGTGTTCACATAAATATAAGAAATAATTATTATCATTTTGATAATTATTTATTCATTTACAATTTATTTACCTACCTCCTTTTTAATGATACCGGCTTTTCGTCAGGAGGATCATCATCACCATCATCATAACTATAATTATGAATGTTACTGTTACTTAAAGGTGGCTGTGCATTACATATTTCAGTATTTTTGTCTGCAACATTTTCTGTAATTACTTCCTTATCCTTGTTATCATTATTATCACCATCGTCCACAACCTCATTTATTTCAGGTTCTTTTTGTTGTTCTTTGAGTAGATTCTGTAATAAAACACCAACTGAACCAATATATCTATTGCTTATTTTCTTACTTCGTTTTTTAGGTTTGCAGACTTTGTCCTCTAGCTTAATTTTATTCACTTGCTCTTGAACTTCAATAACTGACACCATTTCTTGAGAATTGCCATCACTGTTTTCATATTCTACTTCCAATACTCTCTTTTCTGTCGCAACATCTATATTTGTTGTGGTTTCATCATACATTTTACATTGAGCTTCATGACACTCAATATAATTGGCATAATGTAAAGCATACTGTTCCCCAAAATGTTTCTTCCATAAAAATTGCCAATATTGTTCAGTATCCATCTCTTCGGATTCTTGATCAATATTTCCATCAACATTTAAATTAGCAATCCGAGTTTGATCATTTGATTGGTCATCAGATGGGGATGAAGAAACACTATAACCATCTGTGGATGTTGATTCAGAAGTGACATGACTTGATGTAACATCATGACTTGAAAGAGTCATTTTAGTAACATTAGTCATAGAGTCTGTGCCAACAAAAGTTCGAGGACTTACAATCCTTTCATGTTCAGAACAGGAACGTCTTCTGCTTAAAGGCAACCACACCTCCTCTTTGCTGTAAGTTGAGTAATTCGATTTGTCATTTTTTTCTATTCCTTCTTCTGGCTTTCCTTTCTTATATGGGTTGACTTTAGAATCATAAGAGAACTTTCTTTCTCTAATTATTTCATCTATTTCTTCAACTTGCTGAGACTTATTCTGCTCTGTATAAATAGAATCAGCAGACTGTGGCTTTGGTATGCTATTCTCATCCAAAAACAAATCACTATTGTCATCCAAATATGAGGGGTTGATGTAATCACTATACTTTTTAATCCAAGATGCCCAAATAATCCTCTCGCCATTGATGGCCCAGAATCTATCCCATGTATCTTCTGAAAGATAATTCTCTGTAATTTCACTAACTTGAGTTTCAAAATCTTGATCCATTTTCTCTATTTTTTCATGGTTAGTGTAATCTGATTGGCAGTCTTGGTAAGTAAGATCCGCACCACTGTCACTGGGTTGTAAAGCGTTAGATGTGATGCCATGTAACTGAGCATCATGCTCATCAGTAGAGCAATAATTATCTGTGTGTGATGCACTGCAATAACAACTAGCACCTTCATCCTTCTGAAAATTAAATTAACCTTACAATATTTCACTATTCATTTATAAAATAAGGTTGTATTTTTTATAATTGAAGGTAAAGGAGAGGGAACATTTAAACACTACTTTTAAGCAGCCTGCTAGTAATTAATTAAAAGAAAAGTAAAATAATCTGTTTGTTACTAATAACAAACAGATTATTTTGATCTAATATTTTTAAATGAAATCTAAAAATATTAGGTGTTTCTAAAAACACCTAATATTTTTAGATTTCATTGTCATTCTATTTAAAAATCTCTGTGAAATAAAAAGATAAGTACCATTAATTTAAAAAGAATTATAACCTTACCTCACATTTAACCTTATATGAAGTATCAAGAGAGAAATGAACATGGGAATGGTCTTCTAGCTCCTGTGAATCACGTAAAACTTCTATGTCACTTTCACTCGCATCTTCTTTATCTACATAATAGGTCTTAACGCCATCCCTAAGTATTAAACAATTTAATTTGAGTAAATTTACATAGTATTGATTTTTAATACTTTATTATCTTTAACCCAATCGCTGGATGTTATACCAACCTAATGAATGCCCTACTACAAAGACAGTAAACATAATTTTCATCTTCATAAATATCATCCTCTCCATCGATATTGAAATGAAATTCCGCAAGTGGTTCCCAACGATGATAATGATCATAATATTCAGACATCATAACTGAAACATGCAATATTTATGAAATATTATATTTAAGAGTGAAATAGGGTAAATTTTGTAACCAAGAAACTAGTAAATAATTCATAAAAACCTTCTCAAATTTAAACAAAATCACAAAGATAAATATAAAACAGAAGTTTTAAACTCAGATTCAGAAATCAGAACAGAATCATACCATAGATCAAAACGTCTATTGCTATCTATTGACTATTGACAGAAGTGACATTAATGTTTTTTAATAAAGGCAAAGAGTCCTATGCCCATACAGACTACTCTACTACTCTGAGGGGTATTACGTTCACAAAATTCTATAATTATGTTGGTGCGTCACATACAGTCTATCAAGAAACACATGAAAAAAAAGGAGGGCGCCGCTATCTTTTATACGGCATCCCTATAGATTTCAACCGAAAAGTTTTGATACTTTTTATTTTATTTTATTTTATAAACTGATTTAATATTATGGTCCCTTTACTGTCATATTTTTTCAAGTACATGCTTTTATTGGTATGCGTAACCCTTGATCCTTGTAAATCACAGCAACAGTAATTAACATACTTAATAAATTAAATAAACTCACATACTTAATAGTTGAGATAATTTGACTGTGTATCCTACAAGTAATTAGGAAAAGCAGGCTTTACACAAGACTAGATAGCAGACACCCAAGGTACAAAAATAAAACAAAAAAATGTTCAACCATAGTTATTATATTTTATTTATTAATCTGAGTCCAAATAATCTGAGTCGAGGTATTCAGTTCCCGAAATGTTGCCTGCAACTCCTGCGTAATGAAATTGGTCCATTACTGTCTCTTCAGATTCACTGGAACTATCACCGCTTACTGAGATGACAAGTTTGTCTATATCATTATACAGAGATCTTCCACGGGAAAAATATTCATTTTCTATTTTGATGACATGGTCAACACAATTTTTCCATTCTTTTTGAGTTACTGACTGAAATGCTTCTGTAGCCAACTTCGCAACTTCTTGACCACAAACGTTCTTTTGTGCGATTCGTCTTTTTACCATTGCCCAAACTAATTCAATGGGGTTCAGATCACAATGATAGGGGGTAGTCTTACCACTGTATGTCCATGTTCCCCTAGGAGTTCATCGATATAATACACTGGTTCAGGTTTTTGTTTTTTTACAAGCATCAATAAGGATGGTTTTCGCAACGTTTCATGAAATGGAATACTATTTTCCAGTAGCCACAATTTGATTTCATCAACTTTTGATGCCGATGTAGGTGCCTGGGGCAAAAAAAAAACTTAATTTAATAGTTGATTTTCAGTTACAAGATAAAAAGATAAGTAATAATGTAAAACAAAAATAAAGTATGAGAAAGAAATATTATAATACCTTGTTTGTTATAATGGATGGTATGGTGCATTATCCATCACAATTATTGATGGTTCAGTTATGTTGGGCACTAACTTTTCAGTTACCCATTTTGTGAAATTATAGGCGTTCATCTCAGAATGGTAATCATCTTGCTTGTTTTTACCAGTAAATATTAATAGTGCATTATGTACAAAACACATGGCATTTCTTAAATTTAAAGCCAATATAAATTAAAACTTGTCTTAAAAATTCATGGCTGCCATCAAAATTTAATTCTTCCTTCACCACTGCCAATAGTTTTACTAGTATAGGTACTTCTTTCTGCAATGTGTAGAAAAAATGAACTTTTTGACGAATGGCACATAGATCAAAATCATTGATCTCTTTCTTAGGTCGGCCTTGCTTGCGTTTTCCGGGCGTGACAAATTTACCTCCATTCTTCATACCTTCGTCCGCTATGCGCCGAATTGTGCTTTCAGAAACTCCTGAAACCAATATAGGCATGTAAATAATAAATACTTTATTCATATCTAAACAAATAATACAAAAGTATCAAAACTATTGACTGTGTAATATAATTCTTAAATAAATTTCATAACCTCAACTATTTGTAAACAATGTAATAAAACGAATAAATTATACTTAAAAACAAATGATAGATATGAGATTACAGTTTTTTTATTGTGTTTAACATTAAAATACATGTACGTACCAGTTATATTTGCTGTTCGACCGTAAACATCGTCTGAAGTTGAACGCATATTTGTCCGCACCGTACGCATCGTACGCGTCGCACGTGCCGAGTTTTACTGATGGACTCGCACATTTACCCGTACGCATCGTCCGCGCCGTACGCAAATCTTTTGTATTACCAACAACTTTTGGAGCTTTTTCCAACCACTGGTGTGAAACGGTACAGTGAAACTGATCGCTCGAAATCACTATGGATAGAAATATAGTAATAGCCTGCTTATTGGCAGAGGAAGAATAAAATAAAATTCGAAGAAAAAGAAGATTCTGGATTCATAATATTAATTTAAAAAAGGCAATTGAGAACAATATGAAGGGGATATACTTTATTTAAAGACTTCTTAGATGATGATGAACGATTTTTTTTAGATATTTGCATTTAACATACAAGAAATTTCAAGAATTGCTACATTTACTAAAATCATATCTTTGTACGGAGAACTCAAGATTTAGAAGGCCAATCGAACCAGAAAAACGACTTGTTCTATGTTTGAAGTAAGTATTTTTATTGATAATTAAGTAATCAGGTATAATTGGGTTTTTGAATTAAATTTAACTATTTTTTTTGTTAGTACAGTATTTAAATAATTTATCGCAAAGAATACATATTGATAATCGATGTAAAAAAAAATCTAATTATATATAATTAATTACGAATTAATTAAATGTTATAAAAATACAAAACATATCATGTAAGTCGAAACCACCAGTTATATTGGAAAATGCACTAAGTTGGCAACATTAGACAACACTGAGTATCAGCACGCGCCGCGTTATATGACGTCATCAGCATTCGTCCTTCGATATCGCATACCTACCGCATTTTATAAAATTCGGCGCGTACGGTGCGGGTGTAATGTGCGAGGTTTCATATGGTTTCATAAAACGAATTCTAAAATTCGGCGCGTACGTCGCGGACAAATGTGCGTTCAGCTTTAATAGGAAAGAAACTTTCCCGCTTCAAGTTCGGCCATACAATCAACACTTTAAATATGACTTGTCTGGTACCGCTCTTATAAACACTGCGTTTCATTTTTGATCTCTAAAGACTAAACGGTCACACGATAAGAAAAACTTGAAATATAACAAAAAAATCTTAGAACACATCAACTACAAAGCTACGATCAAAGAGTATAGTAATATATATACTGGAAGCTACGATATGACAGCTGAGTTACTCAGTTTGATAATAATTTATTTTTGCCAGTGCAAGCAAAAGCAGTAGTTCCAAAAATATTATTTTCATGACTTTCTTGACAGACTATACATTGACTTATATATTACTAGCACAATGACCAGGCCGACCGCGCAACTAAATGACACCAGTGCGCTGGCAGTTAGGGCCAACGCGACTCAGTCGACAGTGCTCCACGCGCAGTAAAGTTTGAGTATTTGAATACGTCTTCCAATGTAGTAGTGAAGAGTTTCGGGGATATAACTTCAACCTGTCTTACATCTCCCTGCAGTTGGATAGGTTTCATAGTCTGGTTCTATACTTGGATAGCAATCATAGCGCTACTGTACAAACACTTCAGCACTTCGATATACGGACAATCAACTTGGCACCACTGTAGGGTTTACAATATCATCCAAATTTCTACGGAATCAAAGGCTTTCTCATCGTCCACATACGTAAGACAAAGTGGCAGATTGTATTCTTCGGTCTTCTGTACTATTTACCGAAGAGCATGTATCTGGTCTATGGTGTTAAAACCTTTTCTGAAACCGGCTTGTTCGGCAGGCTGTCGTCGAGTCTGCGTATGAGACGATTCGTAATGACTCTCCAAAATGATGAAGAGAGATGTAGATGCGGCTCAAAAGGAAAATTCGTCTGTAGTTCTTCAAGAGAGCGTTTTCACCCTTCTTGAAGAACAAGACCACCTTACTTTTGTTCTTTGCCTTCGCTGTACAGATGGGCAAAGCACCGGGTTAAAACCCGGTGCTTTGGTAAAAACCCAATAAACACCCGTAAACACCCATAAACACCCAAAAAATTGGGTGTTTATTTAATTTGTGTAAATACTTAAGTAATATTAAAAACAAGTTTTAAAATTTATTTTTATTGATTATAATAATCAATACAACTATAGAAATTTAAAGAAATGTCACCCAATATTAGTTTTCAGTGCTTTTATGTTGTAGTTGACCAACATGTTGGCCTTTTGCTTGCGGTAGATATTTTAAAATTTCCTCATAACACCTCGTGCGCACACATGGCCGTATATATTTAAATTCTTCAGCCACTAACATTCCAAAATGCTCGTTTCTTTTATCATAATAACATTACTTTACTATATTGTTCGTGAGTCCGACTTAGAGTCACATAGTGAGTATAAATAAATGCCAAGTAAATGTTATGATTGAAATGAATTTTCAATCATGAATTCATGACTTTAATTTTTACGTGTTTTTATTACTGAATATTAAGTTTGTGTTTAATGCGGATCTCTTCTACACACTCGCAGGGCCACAGCTCAAGCTAACCATATCCGGTCTTTCATGTCGCCTTGGTCTATCGAAAGAAAATACGGAAACGGGTAGCTGGAACTGTGGCCCACTGTACCAGCTAGCATTTGGTGAGGTCGAGAAGTAGAATAGGTTTTCGAATTTAAGTATAAATCGTAAACACCCAAAATTTTGGATGTTTACTGGGTTTAAACCCAAAACACCCAAAATACCGGGTTTTTACCCACCTGGGTTTAAACCCAGGTGGGTGTATTGCCCATCTGTACTTCGCTGTAGTGCCATCATGGAGGATGGAATTAAACAGCCTCTGAAGAACTTCAAGTACTGGGTTTTCCACCCGTTTTCAGAAGTTCCGCTGTAACTCCATCCTCGTCCGAGGCCTGTTCAGCAATGAGCTTTTGAAAAGCTGTAATGATAACGGTAACGATCTGTTATTTTCAGTTAAGGGAAATCGGCCCTAATTAAATGTGAGAACTATGGAGGGGAATTGTCAGCTTGTGGATTGCTGCTCCTGTTTTTAGTTTATATATCCAATATAGGTATGAAGTAGATTTTGATGTGTAAATATCTATAAGTGGAAAGCACGGAACAAATTCACCGATGTTGTTGTAAACTATCGTTATATATAGTTATCTAAAGTTCTCAAGGCACCTAATTGGACAAAATAATCATCAATCATTGTCAATGTCGACAATCACGTCAATGTACATATCACTGATGATCGTTTTAAGTTTTAATCACAGACTTAAATTTTAACACTACGCATAATCTTATGTCGAGAGTTTCAGCGGATACTAGGCCGGCAGATGATTGCTACAATTTTATTGCTTAACAATGGTTTTATTGGTTAACAATGAAGAGCCTTAAGATATTATCATTATCAATTATCCACCGGGTTAAGCTGTCGTCAAAATCTCTCAAGAACTTCGCAATGTGACGCATTCAGCATACTGTGAAGAGTTTTGTGAACAAAATATAAATCAGAATAGGCTGTATGATCTACCATGACCTTTGCCTACCTTAAATGGCGATTATCAACATTTATTCAAAACATTGAACACAGTGTAACACACGTAGCAGATCTTTTTTTGCAGCAACAAACTGAACAATTCTGCATTTTTGTAGGACGTTGATTCAGTCACGCAACTAGATTTAGTGTGAGCAGTACGGTTTTATAGTATGCATAGGACCGCGTGGACTTATACTTTGATAGAGGGGAACGCTCGCGTCACCGGCGGACCGGATACTCCCCTCCGGTCCGCCGGTGACCCGTGTTGCTCTATGACTCAACATTATTGTATAAGATTATTTCTCTTTGTATGTAATTACTCTAAGGATTATTTGAGCTAGTGAGTTATGTGACAGTGAAAGTAAATCCATCGCAAATAATGAACCCTGCCACTTGACTGTGTGAAGATAATGGAATATTTTCTACTTATTTACAAATATATATAAATCCGCAATAGAAAATCTATAAAAACTAAGATCCCGAATGAAATGAAGACATGGCTTAAAGAACAAGCATTCAAGCCAAAATCTTAATTAACACAAGGATTATTTGCTTATTGATTTATTGCCACTGTCAATGTCATAACCACGTTTATTTTGATACGTTTTTGTCTCATTTCAATTATTTTATAGAGGAATTAACTGTTTGCCTTAGATTTAAATTTTGATTTCCTTAAGTTATAATGGGAAAGAAAAATAAAGATTCTCTTGGACGAGCTCTTATTAAAGACAGATTTGCCAAAAATCGTCATCGCCGACATGTGGAAGACAATACGATGGTATGACAGTATTGAATTTTGTTTTGTCTTTATATATTGCTAGGTTAACAATTTAAAATAAATAAATATTATTATTAATAAACAAATAAGTAATAAACGCTTTTCTTTGTTGTACTCACTCTGCCTTAATAATTACGTTATATGCTACAATGAAGAAGAGTATGGTTTTCGGTTTGATGTGTTTTTATTTGCAAATTGATAATTTTTAATCATTTTGTGTGTCTGAATTTTTGTTCTATTATATTCTATTTGTAATAATTAGTACTTTTGAAGGATATCCTTTATACTAAGACACAAATAGGCAATTAATCTAAATTTTTTATTGGCTTTCACTTTATCATAAACACAAACCAGCAAAAAATTCATAAATTGCTAATGTTATCCTGTATACCCCTGGTACTTTATAGACAGTAAAGAAGAAGGGTAATGTGTTATGTTGTTTGTTTGTATGTATGTTTGTTTAAGTAACCTATGTGATTTTCTGTAGAAAAAAAAATTAAAATGTAGGGTATATCCTTATACTAGTCTTCATCTCTAGACTGCTACTGGCTAAATTTGGCTAAATTTTATAATTAAAAATCAGAATGATGCTCACAAAAATCAACATATCATTTGCTTGAATTGTATTCATAATATGAAAGTGTCATTTATTATTTCATTGCAATATTATTGCTGATATCTTTGTTTTTTTTTTTAAATATTAATTCACTTAATAAAATAAACATTATCTGTGCTTTTAGGTATTGTTATATGATTCTGTTCATATGATCCTTTTCAGAGAATAAATAGAAAGTATTACCACACAAATAAAATAATTTTAAATGTAACAATACCTATCGAGCTGGAATTTTAAAATTTCGTTTTTGAAAATAAATGCAAATACTGCATAATTGCAATCACTTTGCATACTGTCGCCCCTAGTAAAAACATGTATTTTAAATAACTATAAAATTTTTACATTTATTAATAATGTGATGTTTTTGTTTCTTAAGTCATTGTGATGTTTTTACTGTTTCAATATTCTAATTTTGTAAAATGGTTCCAGTTGCATACAACAGAAGTTAATGATGGTTATGAGTGGGGTCGCTTAAACTTACAATCAGTAACAGCAGAGTCATCATTACAAGAGTTCCTTTCAACAGCTGAACTTGCTCAAAGGGAATTTATTGCTGAAAAGTTGAATGTGAAGTATGTGAAGTCGGCACCATCTGCAGTGGAGCTTGTCACTTCACAACCAAATTTTGATGAACCTTTAACTGTACCAAGAAGGTAAATCACGTCTTGTTACCAACATGCTATATCTAATCATACTACTCTAGAGTATACTTTATTTTGACAGTGTCCTAGAGAAATTTAACTGTAGTAGTTATATTTAAGTATTAAAACAAAAAAAAAACCTCAGTTCTTGGAAGAACTGGCAAGATACTAAACGGGACTTTTTTTTAAATAACAGCTTACAGTCAGAGGTGTAGCATGGACTAATATAAACATGGGCGAAGTTGCATCAGCGATGCCCCTTTTCTTTTGTTCCAAGGATCTACCCAAAAGATCTATCCTACCAAACATGCTTTGGCACGACATACCTACTCATATCTATTAATTCCTGACAAGTCTTGTATTCCGTCAATGTAACAGTCATGGTCTTTGAAGGTAGTTACAAAGGCCACGCAATCGCACTTAAGAGGGGCTTCTTACGAGGCCCCAAGCAAACACTTAAAGGAGAAGGAGACATCTCCATACATTCTTGGGCCCAAATGTTAACAAGATGAAAGTAGGACCATTTGAAATCGTATATATAAACAATTTATACCTGAAAATCTGGCAAGATTTGATAATCTAAGAGCTGAGTTATTGTAGAATAAGTAAAAGTGAGATTATCTATTACCTACACTATAACGGGTGATTTTTCACTGTTATTACACTGTAACAGGCTATTTTTCACTATAATTACTTAAAGATATAAAAGCAGGATCAGTATAAAAATCACCAAAAAAGCTGTGGTTTATAATGAAACAAAATGGTGAAACGATTAACGAAAGTTAAAACAACAATAACTAAGCGAAGTGAATATTAGGGATATCGATCTGAGATCGATTACTTGAATTGTTGTTGTAACTGTTACTTGTTGGAATTTTAATATTTTGTATTTTTTATTACTATTTTGTAGATATGTATGCAATTTTTTTATCTCCCTAGTTAACATAGGAAAATTATAGAAAATAGATATTAAAATGCTCAATTTAATTGAGAATCGATTATATTGCCCTTGTTTCAAATCAAATCGAAAATTTGTCTTTTTCTTTTATGTGAATAGTTTGAAGTTTGAACTGCCAAGTCAAGTTTCAAAATGAGAAGTCCTCTATTGGAAGATAACGTTCAGAAACGAGAATTACACTAGTGTATTCTTTATGGTAAACGTAGATTTTGAACATGGTAGATTTATTGCCATAAAGAATACACTACAATCGATTTTCTAACTTATTTCTTATTTTATTATTTTTTCGAAATCTAGATTGTAAAAAGAGCTACTTTATTGTATTTTACTTAAGAAAAATATGGTCAATTATTTAAAGTATAAACCATTTAGTTAACTTCTGGCCCAAGAATCCCATTCTCCTTTGTGACTATCTTTTTCGAGTGTAAAAGTGATCAAATTAATTAGTCATCTGTGGTAAAGTCTAAGGGCATCGCATTTTTGGGGGCCACACGAGGTCCCTTAAGTGTGAGACTGTAGACGAGGGCCTACTTCGCCCAGGCCTAGCTACGCAACTGCTTACAATCATGTATGTAACACAATTAACAACACAAAACAAATTGGAAATAGCTTTAGTGATCACCTAATTTCCTGGGGTTATTATCATCCATGAATTCCTTAATATTCTAATAACACTTTTTATACAAACTTAATTTATTAAAAGTTTTTGAACTTTGAGCAGGTTTTGTATATTTTCTGGGATTTTGTTAAGTTGTGTGTATATTGTGTGTAAGTGTGTGTGTGATATATTAAGTTAATGTTCTCATTGAATAATATTAACAATATTGTGAACACAATAAAAATATGTTCTCAATTAGCAAGTAACTTTTTATGGGTGTAAGTGTTGATTATTTTACAAAATTGACTTAAAAAAGTATTTCTTAAAGTTAAATTGTTGATTTTACTTTAAAATAAATAAATACATTGCGACATGACTATATAAATTGACTTGGCAATCACACTAAACAATCTAATTTAATATAATATGTATTACTTGTGACATACATTGTGTTTTCATGCGATGGCCAAGTCAATCTATTTATTTAAAACATAAAAGATATTTCATATTGCTATGGTCACTATAAGATGTTGTTAAGTTAGCTAATTACGTAATAACTTGAGATAGAAGGACCTTTAACTAGGGACTGAATAAATTAACAGACTTGGTATTACATGGATCTCACAACTTTTTATGGTAGACGAACTGAGTTGCCAGACTTAGTCTTTTTTACAAGTTATGTTTTTGATGGCATTTATTAATGTGTTGCACAATGAGAAGTGCTGCAGTGGTGGTGCACAGGATAGTTGCGTTTCGTGACACGGCGTATACTGACTGGCCGACTTGCGACTTGTCACCACGCGTTCATAATCTCGCAATGTATATAAGTGCCCTAAACTAATGTAATACTATTAATGCCATGACACTGACATAAATAATACTGTTACGAGCTTGGGATTCGAGACAATTAAAACTACCGATTGAATTACCAAAATTGACACTTTAATTACACAACACTAATTACAATCTAAAACCACACTAATAATAAAACACAATCACTTTAGTTATTTCGCTTCGAAGTATTCTCTTGTATCGCCAATTCAATACGGTCCCGGTCGTGGTCTATACCGGCCTTATATAGGGCCTCAGATAGTTTCCAGAACCTTCTACTGTAGCGACATCTAGAATGTTCGAGTACATATCGGTCCCGAAATTTCTGGAAGGATCTCGACTCTCCTAGTCCTGCTACTCGACACTAGAGGGCGCTAGTGTAACTAGTGTTGCCATGTATTCGTCTCCCAACGTATAGGTCTTAGGATGAACATGGACAAAACAAAGATCATGTTTAATGTCCATGTCACACCTATGCCGGTAGTTGTTGGGAGCACTAAGCTCGAAGTTGTTGACGAGTATGTTTACCTGGGACAAATAGTCCGACTAGGTAAGTCCAACTTCGACCGAGAGGTCAATCGACGGATTCAACTCGGCTGGGTAGCGTTCGAGAAACTACGACACATCTTCTCGTCAGACATACCTCAAAACCTTAAAACGAAATTGTACAACCAGTGCGTGTTGCCAGTGATGACTTACGGATCTGAGACGTGGTCCTTCACTGCTGGCCGTATGAGGAAGCTCAAGGTCGCTCAGCGAGCTATGGAGAGGGCTATGCTCGGTGTTTCTCTGCGTGATAAACTTAGAAATGAGTATATCCGCAGTAGAACCAGAGTAACCGACATAGCCCAACGGATTAGTAAGCTGAAGTGGCAGTGGGCGGCCATATAGCTCGAAGAACCGACAACCGATGGGGAAGAAAGGTTCTTGAATGGCAGCCTCGTATCGGTAGGCGAAGTGTAGGGCGACCCCCCACGAGATGGAGTGACGACCTGGTAAGACATGCAGGAAGTCGATGGATGCAGGTGGCTCAGGACCGTGCTTTGTGGCATTCCTTGGGGGAGGCCTATGTTCAGCAGTGGACTTATGAAATGCTGTAATGATGATGATGATGAATCTGATTTCATATTGGTATCAAACATTTTCCACAACTGTATTAATTCTTTAAGTGGTAGGGGTGCAAATATAAGTAGGCAATTTTTTTTTCAGTTTAGCAGCAATCCCCGTTTCATTTGTATGTTCACAATTTCCAGGAACAAAATTTTCATTGTTTTTTACTTTTATAAGTTATCAGTTACTAAAACAATGTTATTAAATGTCTAGACCACCATGGGAACCTGGTATAACAACGGAAGAGCAGTTGGCACATGAAAGAGATTCATTCTTAGACTGGAGGAGGCATCTCAATGAACTGCAAGAGAAGCTGGGGGCTGCTGTCACCCCTTATGAAAGGAATCTAGAATTGTGGAAGCAGCTGTGGAGAACGTTAGAGAAGTCTGATGTAGTGATGATTCTTTTGGACGCTAGGAATCCACTTTTATTTAGGTTAGAACTAACTTACCCCTCCTCAATAAAACTAATAATATCTATTCATACATATATCAGTAACAAAACAATGACAATATCTGACAATATTTAAAAACAACAATTAGAACAATTTTTCTTCTTTTTTTAGATTAACATTATTTTTAAATAAGATTTTCTCCATCCTTTGCCATTTCAGAAAAAACTTGCTCTGATATTGTTTTTATTCATTACATTCATTATATTACAGCCCATTAAAAGTCTAACTAATGCTGAACATGGATATGAGAATATAGGGAATGTTTGCCATAGTTGCCACACTTGGCAAGTAGATTGGCCATCACACTTTTTTACTATTATTATTGATTTCTTATCGGGAAGATGCTGCTGCTAATCTCCTACTTTTTTAAAGTTATATTATGTCCAACCAAATTAAAGATGGCGGTAATGTTCATGCAGATATTGTTAAAAAATCTGCTGCTTGTTTATTAACTGACTGAATTATTTTTGTGGGACCCAACATACTAACTTAGTTTTGTTAGCACTACTTCGTGGAGTATTTTATAAAAACATCAGTTACGCGGTTGTCGATTGTTAAGCTTATATAATAAATCAAAACTAAACAATATATGGGGAAAAAAGTTTTTCAAGTGACAGCCTCGTACTGGTAAACGAAATGTAGGGCCGCCCTCCACTAGATGGAGTGACGACCTGGTAATAGATGCAGCAAGTCGATGGATGCAGGTTGCTCAGGACCGGGGGAGGCCTATGTTCAGCAGTGGACTTATGGAGGGCTGTAATGATGACGATGATAACGAAACCAAATATGTTGTATGTACATAATTTATTTGATTTGTTAGTAAAAACACTTAGGTTTTGAGCATATTTGTTGATAATATTTAGCTAATGAGAATCCATAAGATGTTATTTACATCAATACGTAGTATTAATATATTAAGTAGTATTAATATTAATGACATCAATATGTAGTATCAAATACTTTTTTGAATTTGCTGAGCCCTGCCATCAAAGTAAGCATTTGCTCTCTTCATCATCGATCCGACGTTCACTACTGAAAATGAGTTTCCTCATTGTCGGGAGGATTAACTTTAATAGTCACGATTAGACTAAGATTGACGACCGTAATACTGGACGTCTTGCACCTTTGACGCCAGTCTCGGTATTTTTCTCCTGGTAAAAGAAATTGCTATACTGCCATCTATCGAGAGCCATTAGATCACTCGGGCAAGTACCATAGTCGCGTTTGAGGAATTTGACGGAATGAAATATGGTGATTGGTTCTCGATCTCATAATATGAATGATCTCATAACGATACATGCAAATATCAACTTCTTCAGATTTTAGAAGTTCGATACATATTTATCAGGCCACATAGGTCGTGGGCGGTTGTTTTTTTTAAAATTATGTTTGTATATTATGCTTTGTTTATTTCTAATTTAACATATTCAATACTAATTATAAAATATTTTTAGGTGTATGGATTTGGAAAAATATGCGTCTGAACAAAAATGTAAATGTATACTGTTATTAAATAAGGCTGATCTAACCAGTGAATATGTAAGGAAATGTTGGGCTGAATACTTTGAAAAGGAAGTAAGTATTTTATTATTTGTTCCCATCGCTCAATCTAGTCCTTCTCCTATGGCATAAGTTGTGTGAAAGATCAATGACAATATAACCGTCTTGTATATGCAAGCAGATACTAAATAAAATACCTGGAAATTGATAAAGGTAAGCAACGTCATAAACATATTTAGATACTCGGTCGGCTGTGAAGTATTGCTGTAACATATAGGCTGTTACTGCTAAACACTATCTAATATCTTTGTACTCAGAAGCGAAAAGTTCCAAGATACTCGGTCGGCTGTGAAGTATTGCTGTAACATATAGGCTGTTACTGCTAAACACTATCTAATATCTTTGTACTCAGAAGCGAAAAGTTCCATTACTGAATCTTATTTTTCTGATATCATCCAAACTGCTTACAGGGGTAAGCTAGCATGTCTCTTGGTATTTTATAGTATTCATTTTAGAGATTTTTCGCAGTAACTATACAATGCAATTGCCCTGCTGTTTCTGCAATTACAAAACCTGCCAAGTAAGGCAACTAGTGTTGTGTCTTTTTTTATAGGATTGGGTGACAAACGAGCACACAGTCCACCTGATGGTAAGTGGTTGCTGCGGCCCATAGACATCTACATCTATCCTCGCTTGCGAATCAAAATGCAGATGCGTTGTCACCCGTGAGGACTAAGATGGAATGCCTCTTTTCCAGTAAAAAGGGTCTTCGATTCTCTACACTCACCATACGAAACACAGCAGTGTTAAACTGCTATTTTACGCTGGTATTCTGTGAGAGCGTGGTCCTACCCCGGTCGAGCCGACCCATTCATGCTACAACTATACTACTAATATAGCTGCAGCATGGCTCTACCACGTCAAAAAGTGTCTAAGCGAGCTGCCCATGTTCAAAGACAATAAAAACTTTTGTAACATTTTAGACATGGTGATGATTTTCTAAGTTGTATAACGATTTTTCCAGGGTGTTTCCATTATATTTTTCTCAGCGGCTAAAGCCTCAAAAGAACGAAAAATATCAGAAGAAAATGAAACCAGACCTAAAAGACAAAGTATTAGTGAAGATAAAACATATACTGACTCTGACACTTCAGACAGTGAACATTCTGTGAGTGACAATGCTGAGGAAATAGATTCTTTAAAAAACACTGAGGAAGATATACAATTCTTTAAGAAGCAGCTAGGTATCATTGATGAAGCAGTTTGCCATACCGCAGAAAAGTTAGATAGTATTCAAGATGCATTGGACAAACTTTTAGAAAATTTGAGATTAGGAAATCCTATTGAACCATTCCAAGTTAAAGATCAGAAATCCGATACTCCAGAATTAAATAAAAATTTAACTGAGGATAAACAAATGAAAAATTCTCATGAGATATTTGGCAGGGAAAAATTATTAGAGGTATTGAAAGAAATGAGAATTACTAATTTAAAAAATCCGCCAAGATTAACTGTTGGCATGATTGGCTACCCAAATGTGGGAAAATCAAGTACAGTTAATGTTTTAATGCAAACTAAAAAGGTAAGGGAATATTTAGTATTTAACTTCTGATTATCTGTGCCTCCTTGATGTAAACTAATAATATGGTTTTGAATTCATCATTCAATCATTTTATGGTTAATGAAATGATTAGTATCTAAGCTTAGAAAATACCTGAGAAATTTTCATCCAACTATTTCAACATAATATTAAAATAAAACAGTGAATATACCGCAGCTGGAAATGAACCTCTTATTTTATTTGCTTAAATGCAGGTTTTCTCACGTTATCGTTTGTCACTGAGGATGTGCTAAATTACCACTAAAATTTAATTAATAATTTTAACGGTGCCAGAAGATATCAAACTTAAGGGACTGCCTGCCTCTTGTTTTGATTTTACAATGACGCTAGTGTAAAATTAAACTACAACAACGATCAACGACGTATACACGTTAGTTATCGTACATCTATACAAATAAATAAAATTGAAGTGTCTGTGTGTTTTACTATATACATATGAAAGTATATACGGTACTTATAACAAAAACACGATTTTTAAAATTTTTGTCTGTCTGTCTGTTTCGGCTAATTTCCGAAACTGCTGGACCGATTGTGACCGGATTTTCCATGGCAGATAGCTGATGTTATAAGAAGTTACTTCGGCTACTTTTATTTTAGAAAAAGAATTAGGGTTACGCGCAAAAATGTAAAACCCATGAAATCTAACTGTAATAAATTAAGCGCGGGCGAAGTCGCGGGGAGCAGCTAGTTCATTACTAAAACGTGGCAATGTAGAAGATTTCATCACTTCATTTTGTCCCGGGGGTTACTATTTAAAATGTCAGAGATCTCAAGTCTACCGATAGATGATTAAAAAACCATCTCTTATTTGGTAGATATAAATACCCGGGCTTGACGACGAGTATCGTTCAAAGTGCAAAAATGTGGTCGCTAGTCAGCCTGACAAGCATGGCGATTCTAACAAACTCATCATTCTACAGAAGAGAACTAAGCGTAAAGTTTTTATGAAGACACATTTTCACTGAAGCAGCGCAGCAAACTTTACTGTTCCATAACCAGCATAAAGGAACTGTTGCCGGGGTATGGTGTGGATGGTCGATTGCTAAGGGCTGTGCAGTCTCTTTACTGTGACTGTAAAGCCTGTGTGCGGGTAGGGCATGACCTGTCACCCATGTTTAGCGTCCAAACGGGCGTAAAACAGGGTTGTGTCATGTCTTCCTGGCTGTTCATACTGTATCTCGACAGCTGTTTAGAAAAGCTGAAAGATAGCTGTTTGGGTGTGAAATTGGGTGACATTAAAGTAAATTGTCTGCTGTATGCTGATTATGCAGTGCTTATTGCACCATCAGAGGCAGAACTGCAGGCATTAGTCACGTGTATGAAAGAGGAATGTGAAATTAAAGGTCTCCGTTTGAACGCTAATAAAACTAAGGTTCTGGTATTTGAAAGGGACGAAGAGAGAACGAAGTGCGAAATATGGGTAAATCAGGAATGTCTAGAACAAGTAAATGAAATTGTATAATTGGGGAGTGCTTTTAGCCGGGATGGAAGATGTGATTTAGATGTGGACAGGCGTGTCGCTGCCGGGAACAAAGTCAATGGTGCCCTGACTGCGTTAGTCAAAAGGCAAGGCGTAGTGAAGAGTGCACGCCTTGCAATACATAACGCAGTGTTGGTACAGACTTTGTTATATGGCAGCGAAACCTGGGTATGCCAGAAGAAGCATAAAAGCAAGTTGAATGCAGTGGAGATGCGATCTCTTCGTAAAATGTGCGGCGTTACCATGGCCGACCGAAAGCGAAACGAAGAGATTCGCAATATGGCAGGTTTGAAAGATGACCTTATCACAAAAATTGATAAGGGCGTCCTTCGGTGGTTTGGGCACGTTGAGCGAATGAGTGAAGACCGAATGGTGAAGAAAATATATAGCGCGAAAGTTAATATTAAAAGGTGTCGAGGTAGACCGAGACTAACTTTCGAAGGTCATGTGAGCAAATTGCTCGAAGAGGGTAGGGTCAAGTGTACTCGGATACCTAGACGTGCATGTATGAAGAAGATAATGAATCTGAAAGAAGCGAAAGAGGTATGTAAGGATCGTGACACTTGGCGATCTGTTCTCTCTGGCTACCCCGTCAGGGATTGTGCGTGAAGATAAGTAAGTATAACCAGCATAGAAATGTGCCCAGCTATAAGACATAACTTCACTGCTGGCCGGATGAGGAAGCTCAAGGTCGCTCAGCAAGCTATGGAGAGGGCTATGCTTGGGGTTTCTTTGCGTGATAGAATTAGAAATGAGGATATCCGCAGTAGAACCAGAGTAACCGACATAGCCCAACGGATTAGTAAGCTGAAGTGGCAATGGGCCGGCCATATAGCTCGAAGAACCGACAACGGATGGGGAAGAAAGGTTCGCGAGTGGTGGCCTCGTACCGGCGGACGAAGTGTAGGGCGTTCCCCTACTAGATGAAGTGATGACCTGGTAAGACATGCAGGAAGTTGATGGAGGCAGGTGGCTCAGGACCGTGCTTCGTGGCAATCCTTGGAGGAGGCCTATGATCAGCAGTAGACTTGTGAAAGGCTGTAATGATGATGATGATGATAAGACATAACTTGTCTTTACTTTACTTTTACAAAAATATTCATAACATTAAAGAAAATGTCAAATGCAATTTATTCATTATTCTTTTTAGGTTAGTGTGAGTTCGATGCCGGGGCACACTCGACACATACAATCATTGATACTCGACGATGATATAGAATTACTAGATTGTCCCGGATTGGTGTTGCCAGCATATGCTGTTGCACCAGATTTACTTCTAACTGCAGTGTTGCCTATTGACCAAGTAAGTTCTAGGAAATAAAATTGAATTAATGAAAGGAATTGAATGTGATGTTTTTATATGATGGGAACACATAGTTTTTATTTGATATAGATTTAATTTTAGAAAAAGTAGGTTCTATTTGATATATACAGGGTTATTTTGAAATAACCGGCCAAATTTACAGAGAAGGTTCAGAATAAGTAATGGTGAAGAAAAATTAATTAAAAAATATCTCAAACATTTTCAGTCCTTTTTATCGTTTTAAATTCAAAATGCGTGTTAATGCATTATTTTAACTGATTTTACTGCGCACGCACACATTCGTAAGTTTTGATCGGTAGGCAAATACGTTGTTGCCATAACATTCAGTTTGGGATATTTTCAAATAAAGTAGAAGCCTTATTTACTCGTATTTTCAAAAAGTGCAAAAGCGGTATATCATAATTTATATATTTGAACTTAAGTTTAAAACTTGGCTATTCTTTTAAAAATAACCCTGTATATTATACCTAGTCAGGTCATAAGTATTGTCACACAGTAAAAACTTTTCTTTTAGAATGCTGGCCACAAAAAAGTTTATTGAATTCGAATTTCGAATTGTTCCTGAAAATAAAACTGTATACTTTTTAGAATTTTACTCATTTTTAAATATGGAGTGGACGCTTAAAGAAGACCGTGTTGCAGTTATTGCGTTGCATCGTTGCGGTTACGCGCCAATTCAAATTTTTGACATACTGAAAAATTTTAATATAACCAAAAGATTCGTTTATCGTACCATCAAACGATACAATGAAGACTCTAGTGTAGATGACAGGTCAAGAAGTGGTCGCCCTCGGTCTGTTAGGACTCTAGCAGTGATAAAAGCTGTGAAGGCGCGAATTCAAAGAAATCCCAAACGTAAGCAGAAACTGTTGGCTCTTCAGATGGTGTTAAGCAGAACCACGGTGAAAAGGGTGTTAAATGAAGACTTAGGGCTTCGGGCATATCGAAGAAAAACAGGACATCGTTTGAATGCTCGTCTAATGGACCTGAGGCTGAAGAGATGCCGCGCTTTGTTGAAGCGGTACGCGGGAAAAAAATATCGGGAAATTTTTTTTTCGGATGAAAACATTTTTACCGTTGAAGAGAGCTACAACAAACAAAATGATAAGGTGTACGCACACAGTAGTGAAGAAGCGAGCAACCGTATTCCGCGTGTCCAACGAGGTCATTTTCCATCCTCGCTCATGTTATGGTTGGGAGTTTCTTATTGGGGCTTAACAGAGGTACATTTTTGTGAGAAAGGTGTAAAAACGAATGCAGTTGTGTATCAAAATACAGTCCTGACGAACCTTGTGGAACCTGTTTCTCATACCATGTTCAATAACAGGCACTGGGTATTCCAACAAGATTCGGCGCCAGCTCATAGAGCGAAGAGCACACAAGACTGGCTGGCGGCGCGTGAAATCGACTTCATCCGGCACGAAGACTGACCCTCCTCCAGTCCAGATTTGAATCCGTTAGATTACAAGATATGACAACACTTGGAGGAAAAGGCGTGCTCAAAGCCTCATCCCAATTTGCAGTCACTCAAGACATCCTTGATTAAGGCAGCCGCCGATATTGACATGGACCTCGTTCGTGCTGCGATAAACGACTGGCCGCGCAGATTGAAGGCCTGTATTCAAAATCACGGAGGTCATTTTGAATAAACTTTAGTGTCATAAGAATCAATGTTTTGTTAAGTTCATTTTGGTATATAAATGGTTACATAATGAATAAACTTGTTTCAATTATTTTATATTAAACATGTGACAGAATTTATGACCTGACTAGGTATATAGTATGTAATCCAAGATTAGTTAAGCATTTTTTTCCACACGCTTTTATTAGCTCGACCTGTGTGTATGTAAGAATGTAATAAATTTTATAGTTCATTTTCCTCCCATTTCCAGATATCTGAATTGTCTGAAAATTGTACTGTCTGAATTGTTCAAAATATCAACCTCATGCAATGCAGCTTTTGTATTGATAAACAAGGCTCTCAAAACCGCCTAGTGGAAATCCATCCAATGTACACAAACCCCACAGACTGTTGATGGAAAACAGCTTACCAGTGTGAGGGTATCAGCTCTGTGTTCACCAAGTCGCCAGTCCAGCGCGGCAGATATGAGTTAACCTTTCAAAAATTCGTTTTGGTTGGCACATTCTTTCAAAGAATTACTATGTACTCGAATGTCGTCTGAATTGTTGTATTAAAAAGTTAATCCACTGTTTATCCCACTTAGGGGTGGAAACTTTTCCTGAAATTTTTATGGGACACCCCTGAAGTGGGAGCTACTTAATAAAAAAATAATTATTAAAATCGATTCATAATTGATGGAGATATCGCGTTACTTACATGCAAAAAAATAAAACAAAACCACAGTCGAATTGAGAAGCTTTTTTTTTATGCTTGACTTCAATACATACATGGTATAATAAGTAGTGATTAAGCCGACGATTATGAACTGGGTTGGTTAAGATTTTAGATATTAATCGTGTTCTGACAGGAATATGGTTTTATTTAGACTTATGGGTTGGGCTCTACCATCATATACCCTATAAATTGATGTGCCAGTGCTAAAGTGTGGATTACAAATATCGTTTTTTTTTTAATAATTAAAGATGCGTTCACACGACGCTGCGATGGCGCGGCTCTGTGAATTGGTGGGAAGACACACCTTTGAAGAGAAATATGGACTGCTGCTTCCACAGTATGAACATGGTGAAGGCACAGAGTATAAAAAGATCCTAACAGCCCATGCTTGTGAGTATAGAATAATTTTTTTTAAGGTAAAATGAGGATGGAGGATTGACAACATTAAACATTAACATCATCACAGCTTTCAGTGCTGAGAACAGGTCTTACCCAGAGGTTGTCACATAATGCAGTCCTGAATCACCTACATCCATCGACCTCTAGACCAAGTAATTACAGATACACATTGTTAATTAAAAACTAACATGTTTTGTTCACATCTAATAATATGCATTTAATTTATAGATAATAATGATAATTGTGAGCCGTGGTAGCTCAGATGGTTAGCGCTCGCTGTAAATTTTACAGTACGCGAGCAACCCGGGTTCGATCCCCGCCGGCACCAATGAAATTGTTAATTGCAATTTTAAGTTCTGATTTACCACATGCTCGGCGGTAAAGGAAAACATCGTGAGGAGACCTGCATGTCTGAGAAATAAGAAAAAAAAAATATTACGAAGACATGTGAAGTTCGCCAACACGCGTTGGGGCAGCCCGGCGGACATTTCCTTGCCCTAAAACCCTCTCAGAAATGAAAGGAGGCCTGTGCTCAGCAGTTGGACGTATATAGGCTGTAACTTTAATGATAATTGTGTAATTATTGTTGTATTTTTCGGGTTTTCCTGACAGGAAATTCTAAGTAGCCTGGATATAGGAAGTTGTCGGTTTTTTACCCTCGTTCCTCGAAGAGCACGTAAAGCCGTTGGTCCTGCGCCTGATCTCTTTCCGGTCATGTCGGATTGTTGTACCATCGAACTATGAGAGTGAGGTAATAGCGAATGAACCTGTGTCTGCGCATACACTCGGGCACTATAATCCTACGTTGCCTATCCTTAGTATTGTCTACGTTTTGAGACTGGTCTGGAATATTTGGGTCTGAACAAAATTATTATTATTATAGTTTTTCTAAAAGCTACTCCCACACCAGGATTTTCACCTGTATCGTAGAGGCAGTTTATATACAAAAATTACACAAGGACAAACATCCAGACCCGGAACAATTACTTCTATGCCATACAAGCAAGTGCTCCGTGCGGGATCCGTACCCGCGACTCTCAGCGCCGTAAATCAGTGCTATTTGGCGACGTAGTGGCACCAGGAAGCCGTCAATAATTAACACGGTTTATCTTTGTCCAAAAAGACTGCACATTTTTGCACTTGGTCCCTGACTATTTATCATAAAGTTAGTGGTTAAGATTTCCTCTGGAAGGACTTTGAGTGGGAAAAAGTTCGCGCGCTCTAGCAATACCCGTATACAGTGCGAGGAAAGTTGTAATGAAGAATGATCATTATTGATTGCAGAAAATTTCTGTTTAATCCACTCTTAGGACTGCATCATCAAGAAGGGTGGATAAATTGTCTTCCAAATCTTTTCAAGAACCTTGAACATTTCCTTCAAAACAGTTTTCTTACTTTCCTATGCTTAATCAACTCGTAAAAGTCCACTGCTGAACATGGGTTTCTCATACTTAAGGAGGTTAATATTATAGTTTTAAGATTGGCTATAATATATTGTTTGGTATTCAGACCCAACGTTATTAGACATTTTCTTAATATTTATTTTGCATCTTCTCAATAGGCATGTCTATCCTTTGTAATCTTGTTTTTCATAAGGCAATAAAAAAATAAATGAATGAATACGCTTTTTCCACCAGTTAACCGAGGGTTCATGTCGGCGGCCGGACAGCCAGACGTAAGTCGTTCGGCTCGGCTGTTGCTTAAGGATGCTGCAAGCGGTCGTCTGCATTGGGAAGAGCTTCCTCCTGGATATCAGCCCGCACCTGTCAACGAGATGATAGAAGATAAGAAGAACGAGACCAGAAAACCCACCCCAAGAGAGACAAGGATGGTGGAAGTGAGTAATGTAGCTTCTTAAACACGTACAATCCAAGTATGTGTAAAGAATCCATTGATTCTATGCCAGTTAACAAGTTGATTTGTCCATAAATATTGTTATATTTAATTATAAATTATATAATATAGTATTTGTCATTCTTATTATATACATTTTCGCATATAAATACAAAATTTGTTATTAATTTAACTACGGCGCCACCTATCGGATCCTAGGACGGCCGAACTATAGTCTCGACCATGGAGTAAATACAAAGAGGCGACGGCCTCAGAGGCCTGTGATTCTAACTAGGTCCTGACGTCATCACAGTGGGCGTGGCTTTAACATTAGTATTCTGTCAGCGTTCGTCCTGTGCGCTTATGTGTCGAAAATCGCAAATTGGTGTATTTTCGTAGTATTAAGAAGAAAAGGAAGAAGTATTGTGTTTTGTCGCGTAAAATTACTCAGATAGACGTTTTGATGCTAGGGATGATTTTTTTATTCGACTTATAATTTCATAAAAAAGAATAATCTTTGATTCGCTTAAAGTTCTTTTTTATAGAGCTTTAAGTTCTGCACACCTTTTAAAATATGTTTTGTTTTATTTATTTAAATTCCATTTTAAATGTATTTTTAAGAACAGATACTACGAGAATACTACTAGAACAGTTAAATTGTGCATTAGCGTTTTTGTTATATTCTAAAGAGTTCATGGTAAATCAAGTAGCAATTTGCTTGTTTAATTATCATAACATCATTATAATTATCGAAAAATAATATTAGCGTTATAGTAATGACACCATAAAAACGAATTTATTTTTTTAACGAGATTTGTAATTGGCAACACTTTTTATTTTGTCCACAAAGTAATGAATTGCGTATTTACCTAATTTCATTTTTATCTTTTCGGTACTACCACGTTTAATTACCATAAAAAAAGATATATTTTTTAACAAACGCAAATTGTTGGGCGTTTCATGGCCAGAATTGAGCATTTCCAACGATTACATGAGTACCTATATAAATTTAGTGAATTTGATATTATCATTTATTTCATAGTGGAAGGTAGATTAAAAATAAAAATATATTGATATCAAGTAGGAGTAGTAGACACATACGTCCCACTCCACATTTTCTGCCATGTCAGGGTTGCCAGCAGTTTACTTAAATTTGTCAGCAAGTAGTAATGCATCCACTATTGTGTTCCGGTTTGATTCGTGATAACACAGTTTAGACCTTATAGTTGTGAAACGCTTTCGATGTAAGGCGTTGCCGTCGCCCGCGTAGGTATTGACGCGGCCAGCGTTTACTATTTTATTCCATTTTTGTGACAACCCCTAGGGTTGTCACAAAAATGGAATAAAATAGTTCTTATTATCAAATACCTATAATTTAAAAACATTTATTGAACAAGATCATTTTAATATAGGAAATACCAAAATTACAAGTGTTGCACTGCCAAATATTTTCGTGACACTTTCTTTTTAAAGATGTTTTCAGTTTTCGAATGTTAAATTTGATTATGTAGTGTATTCGCATTCGGATAAATAATTTTATCAAAAAAAATGAGGGAAACAAGCATGGTCCTCATTTGAATTCAATTTTACTTAGTAACTCATATAACTATAACTGTAATTCACCATTATGGATATTATATTTTTATAAATGGCACTTAAAATTAGTTAAATAAGTACTATAAAACACGCTCGCTGTATTGTATAGCAGACTCAGTGGAGTGCGCTAGCAGAAGGTCGGCCGGCCCCCTGCCCCGCAAGGCCCCCGCTGTTGCTTTGCACAAGTACATTCGTTTCCTAACTGTAAGGTCTTTAAACTGTGGTAGTAGTCAGTATATTCTAAGGCAGTCGTTAAATAGACAAAAGCACTTGTGGTTTTCTTTGGTTGCAAGTGTCTATGGGCAGCTTCTGCTGCCTATCAACTTGATTGTTACTGTAATTTTAAAAATTGCTCTTAAAAGACTATTGTTGTTGTTGGTTGTTATTGTGTCGTTTGTGGCTGTTGTGTACGGACTGATAACGAAGAAGCACAATTTTCAAATAATATTTCACACAGGGATGGCGAAACACGTCGGCTGAGATCGACAGTGCGTTTTTTGCTATGAAGAAAAGTACGGCGCATGTGAAAGGAAAGCCTGTATTTGGGTATGATATTTTTTTTTTATTTAACAAAAATATTTCACCACAATCTTTGGGCGGCGATCAAGTAGTTCCGTCATAACCCGTGTTGGGTCAGATCCCCAAAGGCACCAACGAAATGGTTAATTGCAATACTGAGTGCTGGGTGCTAAACCTACATGGAATAAAGAAATATTCTAAATTCTTAATTATTCTAAAAATTATATTATAATTATAAAAATATTAATTCTTAAATATTCTAAATTAAATATTGAGAAATATTTCGAAACATACTACATGTTGTATCTATTTAGGTTTAAGAGGCCTCTTTTTCAATACATACAAAGTTAATAATTATATTTATCAATGTTATCCGACCTTTCTTATGAAAGAAGGCCCCTAACATGGTCTAGACCAGCGCGGCCGACTAAAAACTCCATAAACCTCGATAAGAGGAGAACTGAACCATTTTAGATTTTGAACTTTATGTAATTAGTTCGAAATTTTAAATGACCTGGGGTACACAACTCTGATAATTTGGATACACAACTGAATAGTTTATTTTGATTTAATGGGGGAATCCACGACTTTTTAATAAGAGGCCACCAGGGCGGTGCCACTCAGGAATGAGGTGAAATATTTGACAGATTTCATATTAGTTAGATTAGAAATGGATAAACCAAATTACGGATGTTCCTAAAGTAGAAGAATTTGAAAAAAATGTAAAAATGTGTGAAAAATTAAAGAACACAGCACTGAGGCATTGTTTTGTGTATATACATACACTAGAAAGCGAAAAACTTTTATTTGAAACACAACTTTTCAATGATGATGACTCTGTGTGACCATCTGCATAACAAACAAGCTTACCCCATTCCCAACTAGCGACATCTAGTGAGCGTAAGGTTATTATTAGCCCTCATTCTTACGTAGTAGAGCTACGATGCAGCGTATGGCTGCAGTACGAATGAATCTGCTCGAGATCGGCTCGGATTTTCATTCATTCATTCATTCATTACATCCTATCAAAAGTCCACCGCTGAACATTGATCTCCACCATAGATTGTCTCATAGGAGGGATTGCCAAAGTTACCACTTTTGGCAGGCGGGTTTGCAAGCCCTGTTTTTTATGATTTTCAGTTGTTATCAGCAAGATGATGCTGTCCATCTCCTTTTTCAGTTTTCCTCTGTCGCTACTTTCGAACCCACGTGATGGCCTTTACACAGCACGCACTAATACCAGCGTGTAATAACAACATAAGTTGTGTTTTGTGTCGTTACTGACGAAATCTGGAGGACCATTTTTACTGGAAACGAGGCATTACATGTTGATTCTAAGGGGTGCATCTGCATTTTGTTACTTCATTGAGGATTCATGTAAGTGTCTATGGGCCACAGCATCCACTTACCATCGATTAAGCTGTGTTTTCGTTTGTCACTCATATTTCTATAAAAAATCCATTTTATTTACTTGACATTTGATATTTGACTCATAACGCGTCCGACGTTTCCATCCCGGCGTTTCGGGTGCCTTGCAGCACCCATGGTCACGGGGGACTGAGGTGATTGACGTCCCGATGTCAATGTTATCCCAGAGTACCTTCAGCTTTTTAATTATGACTTTTGGTTCGATCTACACAGGAAGAACTTACTGTGTCTTGACGTCAGAAACGTCGGGAATTAAAAATAAATAGTAATAAACGCGATAAACCAATGTTTAATGTTCGCGTAAATATTAGAAGTTATTATGATGTCTCTGATTGTAAACTTAACATATCTTTACGTTTTGGGTCCCGTTGAGTTCGATTTAAAAAGTTCTCAGTTACCTAATATACATCCGACGAGCTCAAAACGAATCCATCCAATTTTACGCGTTAAAAAGTCCCATACAAAACTTTACCATCCCTTTAAGGGATAGCTTGGGGAAAAAACTTATAAGTCTTTTAACACTTGTTCCGAGTAACATTTTTAATCAAGTTTTAAGCAAATCGGATCACGCGCTATTTTTAGCGTTCGTATACAACTTTAACATCCTGTTGCACCTCCTCTTAATTTAGCTTGTTGAAAACCATGTAAGTCTTTTATTACTTGTACTGAAGAATACTTATGACGAGTTTCTAGTTCGCAATCTCTATATTTTTGCCCAGAAATGTTTGTACCCCATATCACTTTTTGACGAATTTCGAACAATTCTTACTAAGTACACTCCTGCTAATTCTCTATCCAAATTTCAAGTCTCTATGACCAGCGTTTTAGGCTGTGCCTTAACTATATGTGAGTGAGTGAGACAGTTAGGGCGATTAGGTTTTCGTTAAATTCGTTTCAATTTAATTTAAAACAATAAAATCGAACCTTCAATTGTCTCCAAATGAAAAACAAATAGTGAGGGTAGACCGAGTCGTGTACACACCCATTTTTTGTTTTAAAAGGTGTTTGTGAAAGGTCATTAAGATTTTTAAATTTGATACTTTTTTATTATTATTTTTTTAAAAAACGTTACCCCCACACTAGGATTTTATTAAGCCTAGCTATATGAGGTTCATTCTGAGTCTACCCCACACACTCAGAATCCAAATCAGATAACCAAATTCAAGTCTTGTGTAATAACTCTTATGAATATTTTCCACAGTGTCAACGGATAAGTTATGTTGGGCCCTTACCGGCTAAATCTTACGATCAGCGCATTCGTAACGTCCCAGGATCTCATACCAGACGCAGTACTAACAACATAGGGTAACTGATAGGAGAATCCAAACAAAGGCAAACCCAACATGGGGCTCCGCAGGGCTCGGTGCTGGGTCCGCTGTTGTCGCTAAGTTATAGCAACATATTGGCTAACATACTAAATAGACCAGTTACGTGTTTCACGTCATGCTTCCTTGTTTTAATAATAGTTGGCACAGGCCTCCTCTCATTTATTAGGAGGATTTTATAGTCTACCTCGCAGCTTCATTGCGAGTTGTTGGACTTCATATTCTCCTCGAAACATTTTGAAATTCTCAGATATAAGGGTTGCCACACACCGAGTTCTCGTGGTAAAACAGTACCTAATAATTGCAACTAACTTTTTATTGTTTGCCTAATATGAAATTTTAAAGTGAGTGCTTTTTCTGTGCGCTATTACAGTATCCTTATGTCATAAGCCCATAAAATTAAGATTTTTAAAAGGTTCTCATTACGGTTTCGGCTCTAGTATTAACACCAAAAGTATTAAAACACTTTATACGCTTTGTTTTAGTTTGTAGTTTTTTTTTTAAATTTCATAGTACAGATACTTTTACCAGCTTTTACCTGCGACTTCTTCCGCGTAGAATTTAAGCAAAAAAACCTACAGATCTGTCGTAGTTGTATTCGAACAAGTAGTTTAATTATCAAAAACCATTAAGCTGCTATTTAAATTCTGTGTTAGCGTTACTTCCCCGTGTGAGCCGACACATTCGTGCAGCAGTCATAAAATAACGTGAAACTACCGATGACTTTACAACTTCATTTTATTGGGTTTGTAAAATATGCCTTTCGAAGTATTTTAGACAAGCTACATACCCTAGGTTACATTCTACTTTTATCGCTAGCACAGCGTTCCGTTTCAGAATAATTTTCACGATCGTTAACCTCCCTCCAGTCACGTCGTAAAACAGTTAAATTTTATGAATTAACACTTGGCCACCTTCCAGGGTGCCTATTTCTACTTCTAAAAGTTTATTTAGGTTTCCCTAAACTATAATTGATAATATTCAGTAGGATCTCTTTAATCTCTGTCAATTATTAAAAGATACATGCATGTTTTAATGAATGATAGGTTATTACACTGTTCTTAACTCTTCACGTGTCTGATGAGTTAGGAACTTTTGAGTTATATCTACCAAGTTTTTTTTGTACTTTTTGCTGCATCTCTAGGGTTCCGAAGTCAAAAAACAACTTCTAAGTATATTTTCGTATCGTCAGTCTTAAATGTCACAACTATATTTCATGGAATTCTCCGTTTAAAGGTCACAACTGTATTTCATAGAATTTAAGAGCAGCACTGTTAGCAATTATGCATTACTTAGCATTGACAGTATTGATAAAAATGCGGTCATGCAACTTTTTTGTCTATTCTAGTGGGTTCCCTAATATGTTGTATGAGTTTACATTAGATCATTACTTTTGCTCCATTACATACATATAATACATATAATCACGCCTCTTTCCCGTAGGGGTAGGCAGAGACCATTTTGCACTTGCTACGATCCTTACATACTTGTTTCGGTTCGTCCACTTTCATTATTCCTTTCATACATGCTCTTTACAGCCTATTAAAATCAACTGCTGAATATCTTCAATGCGCGGGAGAATTCACAGGATGCTTCGAGTATATTCTGTGACCTAACCAAAGCCTTTGATTGTGTTCACTGTGTAATATTAATCAGAAAACTTTAACACTACGGTGTTAGAAGTGATACCTTTAAATTAATTATTTCATAAGACTCCCCATAGATTGCCTCATAAACAAGATATTTTTCATAATTGCTACGCTTTGTGGGCAGTTTTTAATTTTCTAGTATTTATTAGGAAGACTCCACTGTCTATCTCGCGGTTGGTTTCCTTCCGTTGCTTCTTACGACTAAAACGGCACGTTTATTAGGTTTTTATCAATTACTTTTTTTTTTGCTTGCTATAGGAGTCAGCTGCACGAGAACGGATGAATCTATAAAGGTGGTTACTCTTACCCATATGCCTTTTGACATCATTAGAGCTGAAAAACTTATAGCAATATTTGTTTATTTATTTTTATAAAATTGAGGATGACTAACGTTCACACAGTCTACCAGATGGTAAGTAGATGGTGGAGCTCATAGACATACCTACGTTACACTTTTTTCATTATTATAATATTGTCGTCAAGTGTCATCTCCTTCTTCATCATCATCATCAGTTTCGAGAGTTACGGGCATACTAACGTCACCCTGTCTTACACCTCTCTGTAGTTAGATAGATTTCGTACACTGGTTCTGTACTCGGATAGCCCTCGTAGCTCAACTGCACAAACATTTCAACACTTTGATACGTCTGTCAACTTGGCATCGCTGAAGGTTTTGTAGCACCGCCCAAATTTCGACAAAATCAAAATGACTCAAAAACGTTATTGCCAAGGCAAAGTCAAAGCACATAGGCGGAATTGGCGAGAAACTAGTTCGCCTTCCTTCGGGAACTCGTACATTCTGGTCTCTCACCAAGGCTGTCCAAGGGAATTTCTGTAAGCTATCACTACCATCTCTGCACAGGGAGGACGACTCACTGGCTCTCGCCGCAATAGAGAAAGCCGACCTTTTAGCCTCCCTTTTTGCGCCCAACTCGATTCTTAATGACGGGAGGAACACCGCCGACCATACCGCGGTGTGAGTGCTCCATGCCGGATGTGCGGTTCTAACAGCGCACGGTTCGCAAAGCACTCCTCTTCCTGGACATCCACAAGTCGAGTGGGCCTGACGGAATCCCCGCAATTGTGCTGAGGACGTGTGCTCCGGAGTTGGCACCGATTCTAACGCGTCTTTTCCGGTACTCCTACTCCCTAGGCGTAGTCCCGGAGTCATGGAAGACAACTTTTGTCCACCCGATCCCTAAAAAAGGCGACCGCTCAGACCCGTCCAACTAAAGGCCTATCGCCATCACCTCCTTGTTCTGTAAAATAATGGAATCCATTATAAACTGCCAGCTTATGCGGTATCTTGAGGATCGCCAGCTGATTAGTGACCGCCAATACGGTTTTCGTCGGGGTCGATCGGCTGGTGGTCTTCTGGTCTACCCGACTCATAGATGGGCGGAGGCAGTAGAGTCCAAGGGGGAGACATTGGCCGTTAGTTTGGACATTGCGAAGGCACAAAGCGCTTCTTTCGAAGCTCCCTTCCTATGGGCTTCCCGAGAAATTGGATCATCAGTATTCTTGCAGATCGGAGCATCAAGGTCGTTGTAGATGGTGCATGCTCTGAGCAGCCTCTTAACGTTGGTGTTACACAAGGCTGCGTGCTGTTTCTTCTGCATAACAATGATATGTTGCAAACCGGTAACATTAATTGCTATGCGGATGACAGCACTGGTGATGCTCTATACACCGGCCGTGCCAGTATTTCTCGTGAAAACGTCGCCGAGTACCGGAACAAACTTGTGTCTGAAGTCGAGTTTTTGCTGAACAAAGTCTCGGATGGGGGGCGACTAAATCTAGTCCAGTTTAATCCTCAGAAGACACAAGTTTGCGCGTTTACCGCTAAAAAGAACCCCTTTGTTGTATCTCCTCAATTTCAAGGCACTCCCCTTGTTGTCTCAGCCAGTATCTGAATCCTCGGCGTCGATATATCGAGTGACGTGCAGTTTCGTGGTCACTTGGAAGAGAAGGCCAATTTGGCCTCCAAAAAACTTTACGTGCTCAGCCGAGCGGGACAGTATTTCATCCCGACACAACACCTGTAACTTTACAAGGTGCAGGTTCGGCCTCACATGAAATACTGTTCCCATCTCTGGGCAGGGGCTCTCAAGTTCCAGTTCTTTCCACTTGACGACCGAGTCCTTTCCGATCGGCTTGATTTATTGGCACTGCGAAGAGATGTTGCATCCCTTTGCATTTTCTTTCGCATTTACCACGGGGAGTACTCTGAGGAATTGTTCGGATTAATCCCTGTTGCCAAATGTAACGAGCGCACATCGCGGCAGAACTCCCGATTCCATCCACACCATCTGGATGATTGGCGGTCCACCACTGTGCGATTTAGAAGATGTTTTCTTCCTCGCACAACTTCCTTGTGGAGTCGATTACCACCAGCGATTTTTCCGGACCGATACGACTTAGGGACCTTCAAGAAAAGAGCCTACTCCTTTTTAAAAGGCCAGCAACGCCTCTGCGATTCCCTTGGTTCCCCTGGTGTTGCAGTTGTTCATGGGCGGCGGTAGTCACTTACCATCAGATGAGCCGCATGCTCGTTTGGCTCTCTCCTATAAAATAAAACAGCACGCAGACGCGGCTCAGATGGGAAATCGGTCAGTAGTTCTTAAATAGAGCGTTGTCGCCTTTCTGAAAACCATGACCGCTTGCCGTTGCATTTTTTAAAGTATAAATTTATTTAATAACCGGTTTTGGGGGTCTTAACCACACGAAATTAAACATACAATGAGTTGATACAATGAGTTGATGTAATTTTTATACCACATATCTCGAATGATTTTTCATTAGAAATGTTGTTTATTTTTCTTCGTAATTCAATTTTCTTCTCTATGGTGTTGGCGTCCTCGATGGTTTAATTTAACTACTCCCCTGTTTGTCGTATCTGCAACCTTAAGAGCTCAAGCTGACGATTTACTGGGGCCTATCCTATAACAAAAACCTTACTCTTTTCTTCTTACGCTTGAGAAGTCTTCTCAACAACTTCTCTAACTTCACAGCTTTCCTTAAACAAGCCAAGGTGGTCACTACAATTTAAAATCCTAAGCTTTATATTAAACAGCAGTTCCCATACCACCTTTCTTACCGTAAATTTCAGCACTACGTCATCCTCAAAAAGCGTGATAACAGTTCGTTACCCAGTTCTAGTGCGGTAATCACCACAAGGCGTCGGTGGGTATTTCACCTACCCTTATTCGCATGTTAGTCTTGTTGATGGTCACAACTAATACATCATGGAGTTTTAGTCGGATTAAGATGTCCCTCCAGAAAGCCCACAGAGCGCATTTAAAATCAACGAGCACCCATAGATACTTTATGCGTATTTCCCTTCTTTCCATGGGTTGCCGGTACTGCTATTTATCGGACCCTATATACGCCACACTTACTCCAGTTCGGGATTCGTTCCATGTTTTTTTTTATAGGATAAGGGTGACAAACGAGCACACAGTTCACTTGATGGTAAGTGGTTGCTGCGGCCCATAGACATCTACTTCTATTCTCGATTACATATTATCAAAGTGCAGATGCGGTGTCACCCGTGAGGACTAAAATGTAATGCCTCGTTTCTAGTAAAAAGGGTCTCCAGTTCTCTACACTCACCATACGAAACACAGCAGCGTTAAGCTGCTATTTTACAATGATATTCTGTGAGAGCGTGGTCCTTCCCCGGTCGAGCCGACCCAATGGTGCTACTACTATACCTACTACTAATATAGGTGCAGCATGGCTCTACCACGTAAGAAAGTGCTAGGTTCTAACTGGTGATGTTCACTTGTAAATAAATTTACTATTTTTATAAAACTGAGGTAACAAACGAACTCACAGTCTACCTGGATAGCAACTGGCTACTGCTGTCCATGGACACCCGCAGTGAACTTCTACAAAGGAGGCTACAGATGCGTTATCACCTCTGAGGACTAATGCGGAATGGCCCACAGTCTGTATTATACTCTCACTGCAATTTAGGGGCAGAAATAGATAGCACGCACAAGAGGTTGGTGTCTATTTTACAATGATATTCTGTGAGAGCGTGGTCCTTCCCCGGTCGAACCGACCCATTCGTGTTACAACTATACTATTAATATAGCTGCAGCATGGCTCTACCATGTCTGTAAGAGATATGTTGTCATCCCTGAGAACTAAGATGGAAGGACTCGTTTCCAGTAAAACGGGTCAAGTCACGGGTCACGGTCACGCCACGGGTATGAAAAGGTTCTCCGGTTCTTTACTTTCCACATTAAAAAAAAACCGGGCGTATTATATTTTACGCTGGTATTGCAAGATTAGCACTGCAGCGTGGCTCTACCACATAATAATACCATATATAAGTTATTTTGTCATCATAATTAGCTTCTTATCCTTATATGGTCCGTTATTTCAGAATTGTAGGCGCCCAAACAACGGAAAAACCACTTATGGGTAAACCCTGGAAGCTAGAGAAGAAACACGCAAACAAGAACAAGAGAGAAAAATTGAGAAGAGTTTACGCGCATTTAGATGAACATTAAAAACAAATTATACTATATTTTACCAACTATATTTACGTCTCTGAAAGTTATATTTAAGTTAAATTTATTATTTAATGATTTAGGTACAAGTTTTTCAAAGATTTTTACATAAATTTTTATTTTAATACGTACAAAGGAATTAATTTAATTTAGTGTTTCTTACAGATGGCGGCATAATCATCTCGTCTATATCAGATGTAAGAAATACAGAGCGGCAATGGCAAATAAAGCCAAAGGTGCAAAATGTGGCGATTAAGGTCAGTCTTACCTACAACGGGAGTCCCATGACGTGCAGTAAATTTTTACTGGCGGTAAAATCCACTGCTGGACATTTTTATCGCTGTAGGGGGGGGGGGGGGGGGGTTTGCGATTCTCTCCTATTTTAGGGTTACTGTTCCATGTAAATACCTGTAAAAGTTGAATAAAACATACAATTTTCCTTTTGTATTTTATTTTTATCGCATACTACCATATATCTAAATCCGATTCATCCTCATCATTCATGGTGAGGCCTGGTGGCTTACTTTATAAGCTTCACCTGTACTAATGGCTGTTCCTCAGGGCTCGATTCTCGGCCCATTCCTGTTTCTGGTGTATATTAATGACTTACCTCTCCTTGTAGGGGATAGTCATGATATAGTATCATTTGCTGATGATACTTCCTTGATTTTTAAACTTAAACGTCAATCATTTAAATGTGACGAAGTGAATAATGCTATATCAAAATTAGTGCATTGGTTTAACGTTAATAATCTGCATTTGAACGGAAATAAAACTAATTGTGTTAAATTTACAACAACGAATGTTAAAAATCTGTATACCAATGTGTTTTTAAATGGGGAGGAATTGAGCCCTGTTGTATCCACTGTTTTTATTGGCATCACTCTTGACGCAAAGCTCCAGTGGGGCCCCCATATATTCAAATTAGCAAGCAGACTAAGTTCTGCAGCCTATGCTGTAAAAAAGATTAGAGGTCTCACTAGTGTCGAGACAGCTAGATTAGTTTATTTTAGTTATTTCCATAGCATAATGTCTTATGGGATTTTGTTATGGGGAAATGCGGCTGATTCAGAAACTATTTTTGTTTTACAGAAGAGGGCCATTAGAGCTATTTACAATCTAAAACCGAGAGAGTCTCTTAGAGATAAATTTAAAGAAATTAATATATTAACTTTGGCCTCTCAGTATATTTACGAAAATTTAATGTATGTTCACAAAAACAAAGATAGTTTTAGTAAAAAAAAGTGATATACATTCTGTAAACACTAGGAACAAACACAAGCTAGTGATGTCAGTTTCTCGAATCCACAGAGTCAGTAATTCATTCTTGGGGCAATGTATACGCAATTACAACAAGGTCCCGGAAAGTGTACAGGTTCTCTCTATTACCAAGTTTAAATGTTTTATTAAGCTGAAACTGTATAAAAAGGGTTATTATAGTATAAATGAATACATGGTTGATAACCCCTGGGAATGAGGTGGTCGCTTCCAAGCAGTTTCTAAAATAAATTTTGTAAATAGTTCGTAATCATTTATATTGTAAAATTAATTTAAAAAAAAAATCCCGCTGAGTTTCTTGCTGGTTCTTCCCAGGACAGAGGGTTTTTTTCGAACCAGTGGTAAAGTAAAAAATGACTTTCAATAAGAATTACACATGTAATGTATATTGAATAAAAAATATTCTATTCTATTCTATTCGTCATCATATTCATCATCGTCAGCCCCTCACAAGTGTTGTTAAACGTTGGGCTCCTCAACGGAGACTAGCCATTTGTGCAGAACATGGTAGTAACATAGGGTAGTAGTAACATGATAACTTAGTAACACAATGTACAGTAATGGTGCGGTAATCCGACACCGGAGAGTGATCAGGCGCGGAACAACGCTTTTACGTATTTTCCGAAACACGGGCGTGAAACACCACCAACTTCCTGACTCCGGGTCCCGGGTCCAGAATTTCTTGTCAAAAAACCCAACTATTTTTGAACCCGATCCAGAATTCAAACCCGATATCTCAAGATCAGCCAGTCACGCTTACGACTAGACCAATGAGTCAGTCATGCTTTGCCAATAGCTAAAAACATGGTTCTAAGCCATCATTGTATCCATCGACAACATCTATTGGGGGGCTGCCCTACACTCCTACCAGTACGAGGCTGCCACTTGAGAAACTTTCTATCCCATCAGTTGTTTAGTTTCTTGAAGCTTAATCGGCCGTACCAAATTACCGGTAAATCCACACGCAATAATTTTGTCAGCCTCTCTAGCGACTTGTGATCTTTTAAAAAACTGTAGAAACAGAAACAGAAACTTGAACTTGAAAGTCACTCTTTTGTTTAATTACCACTGATTGGAAAAAACACCTCTGTCCTGGGAAGAACCAGCAAGAAACCCAGCGGGACTTTTTTTTATAATAACAGATGACAATCATGTATGTTATACAATTAACAACACAACAAATTAGAAATAGCTTGGTAGCGATCACCTTATTCCCATGGGTTATTATCATCCATAAATTCCGTAATATTATAATAACCCTTTTTATACAAACTTAGTTTAATAGTTTGAACTTTGAGGCGGTCAAATTTTGTTTAATTTCTGGGATTTTGCGTATACATCGCCCCAAAAATGAATTACTGACTCGGTGGAATCGAGTAACTGGACAGTACTCTAACACCGTGACGACTTAAATGTAAGAAATAAGAATTAAAAAAGGTTATACCTTCTCTATATCTCCTGCCAGGCAGGATTCATCCCGAGGTGCGACTAATGCCCCGGTGTAGTATGGAGCTTGATATTGCAGTTGTTCGGAAACTTCGATAGTGTGATTTAGACTTCGGTTGTACTTCCGTCCGTTGACGCTATATGGTCGCGACGATAGCACCACTACATCACCCTCCTTCTCAAACCAGAGGTCGATAGTGCAGTTCAGTAGTCGAAGTGAAAGTGCCTTGTAGTTTCCTATATAACCTTCGAGATTCTTAATCGAGAATAAATAAAGATGTGTATAGGCCACAGCATCCATTTATTATTAGGTGGACCGTGTGCTCGTTTATTAGCCAGGAAAACTGAGAGATCTACCAAACAACGTCGCCGTCGCTCCATATAGTTGGTAGCACGGAGCTTGTTCTGCTGTTGATATAAGCCGAGTTGCTGATTAAAGCATTCAAGCGTATAATGTCTTTCAGCCAGAATTTCGGTCACGGCGGCCAGTTTAAACTAAGACAAGTTGTCAGCGCAAGACATCATTATAGTGTCCGAGTGTATGTTCTAACACAAGTATCCTCTCTGTTCCCTTACCCCCGATGGGACGGTTCTCCGACACGACTGGGAAAAGATCAGGCGCAGGACCAACGGCTTTACGTGCTGTCCGAGGCACACTGGTGAAACACCGCCAACTTGCTAACCCGGGCTCCTATTGAGAATTTCATGATAGAAAAATTCGCAAAATTCAGTAATCACGTCTACGACCACTATATGAGGTAATAATGATGCATATGAACATAACGCATACATAATATACTCGCAATGCAGAAGTAACCAGCTATATATTGAAGGAACTTAAAAATCGATTTTTGACAATTAAGAATAATATTCATTAGATAATTATTGACCTTACACGCTAGACCAAATTTGCGCAAAAACAAATATTCAAAAGGCTGAACAACTTATTTTGAACATATTTTATCCATTTGGAAACAAGCATAATACACACGTAGGTATTGCTTTATTAAAATTGCCTCGATAATAGCTCCTGCGCCTTTAAATTTACAATCACGTGGTAGAGCCATGCTGCAGCTATATTAGATAATAGTATAGTCATAGCATGAATGGGTCGGCTCGACCGGGGAAGGACCACGCTCTCACAGAATACCAGCGTAAAATAGCAGCTTAATGCTGCTGTGTATCGTATGGTGAGTGTAGAGAACCGGAGACCCTTTTTACTGGAAAAGAAGCATTCTATCTTAGTCCTCACGGCTGACAACGCACTGCATTTTAATTCGCAAACGAATATAGATGTAGATGTCTTTGGGTCACAGTAACCACTTACCATCAGGTAGACTGTGTGCTCGTTTGTCACCCTTATTCTATAACAAAAAAAATCTCATACAACTGCCAAAACCATATTGATGTTTTAAATTTTTCAACGCCAACGGACATCCAGTAGATATAAATTTTCTTTGTACGTTGGATTGCGATAAAAGCAGACTGATATTTTAAGCACAGCAATAAATATCCGATTTAAATAAATCACGGGTGACGTCAAGATTGAGAAAAATTTTGACTCAGTGAAGAGTGAAACAAGGAGAGTCGCGGACGTCCGAAAGTCATACACAACATAAACATTTTCCCGGGCAGTTGCGCAAATATGCGGGGAATTTTCATGGCGTAATGTTGGCCCGAATCTCTTGATTTACAGCGCGGTCGCTAATTTAAGACAAGTGGTCGAATTTACAACTAGTGGTTGACCAGTTTTATGAAAACCCAAACGTTTCTGACTCGTATAGTCGAAAACTGAATGTTTAATACAAAGAACTGAGGAAAGGAAATCGAAGATCACAGGGAACCTCAACATGTAGGATGTATATGTATAATTTCCGTTCCAACCTTTTTTTATTCTATTTCGTTTTATTGCGATTTGTTCATTACCAAGTCTATTTTCTGATGTTACGCAATTTATTCAAAATTGTAGGTACCAACTTAATAAAATTTTGGCAAAACATGACCATGACCTTGTAGTGGCGGTGTAAGAATATCCACTACCCTATATCAGTATTTTTCTAATAACTACTAAATAACAACTTCGGTTGTCAACCCGCCTGCCAAGCGTGGCAACTATGCCAAATATCCCCTACGTGGCAATATTTGGGGGAGGTTTATGTTTAGTAGTGGACTTTTGATAGGCTTATCGTTATGATAACGGTATGACCTGACTCAGAGGTACTTTAATTTCGCAACTTCGTATTGCGTACTAACTTCAAGTACGTTGTGAAGGAAAT